CTTCGAAACTAAGCATTCTCCAGATTTTTACAAAGTACTAGTACTTACTAGAAAAACATTTGATTCTAACTATTTTAAAAAAGAAACACTCGATGAAAATAATTTTGAATTAAAAACATATAATGCCCAAACACTACAAAAACTTTTGCAACAATTATCATTTTCCTCGAAACGATTTGCATTGAATCAACCAAAGGATAAGGAATATTAGATTCTACCTCGATATCCTCCACATTCTCCTCCATCATCAGATTCAGAAACTCGGAGCGCTGCTGATAGGGTTTCATCAAATTCACATGTTAAATGGTATCACTGTTACGCTTACCCAGAATTTCTACAGTTTAGTTGGTTTCAGAAATCACATTAGATACCTTCCCTTGTCCTACCAGTTTACCGCCATTTTGTGAGGCTTAGACGTCGCTAAAACAAGCACGAGATTCCGGACCTTAAACCTTAACCGTAACAGCGTTGCGATCATATTAGAGTTTCCTTTTACTCTGACACTCTTTTATCCTCTCTACAGCCAACGCCTGACCCTTTTTTAATCTATTTACCAAGTCTAAGACATACTCGACCACAGCGGGAACTGAATTTTCTTTCTCTAGCCAATTTTCGTACACGATCGTTTTGGGGAGTTCTAAAATTTTTTCCGTGCACGAATTCACAGGGACTAAAATTTAAGTCCTCTCTAGTTTTTTGTTGTAGAGCAAGAAGGATGAGAGAACATGAATCTGTCCCCCGGGATGAAATCCATCAAAATTGGGACGGAGACGCACAGTTAATGCAATAGGATTTTATCTTTACGAACAAAGCTAGAATTCTGGTACTCTGCTGTCATCTATCTGTACCTGCCTATTGAAGAAACGAAGGTTAGCTCGCGGTCTCGCATTGTCCTGCGAAAGAAATTTTGAAGGCATGGCAGAGCCACGAGCATTAAAACCTCAGCAGGGTATAACTGGCTAGTCAAAGTATCAGGTATGAGGATTAAAGTGAATGGAACGTGTAGTCATTCTCCCCCCCCCCCCATACAAATTTGCTGGGAGGAGCACAATGATGAATAAAGCAAATTTTCAATTTTCTTTCCCTTCGACGCCTTGACAAAAGGACATGATCATCAAGATGCTGTAAGCAAAAACCGTATTCGTGAGAAAAGATTACATTATATCATCGATGCATCAACACCGACAAGAATGTCGATTGTCTGAAGCATTAGTTAAGTAGGAATGTTTGAGATCCCGCACGTTACACTGCGAGGCCCTCTTCTCTTCGACTGCAAATTCTTATAGGATTCATTGGGGTTCAACTAATGCAAGAGGTAACTGCACGTTGCAATAATCGCCAGTCCCGGTAAACTACGAATTCTCCAGACTGAAGTCTGAGAGATACTGGTATGAGTTCCTTTTTCTTACATGAAGCATAACATAACCTCCAACACGAAAAACAATGAGTAACAATCAGTAATGTGACAGAGTAAGCGCACTTTTTGACACTGTTTCAAATTCTTCCTTTCTTCAAATCTGCCTTTTGGCATTGCTTTGTTATTTTGTCTATGATGTACACATTCCATATTCTGCCTTTCGTACAAATGTAAAGTTTATTGTAAGCTTTCTTCATGGTGTCGCAGTTTTAATGAGGAGAGGTGCAAACGATTTTTGTTGGGAAACGTATTTCAACGCAATCTTGAAATGCACATATTTATTGTAGTTACACTTTTGTGATGGTTAAATTAAAAACATAAAATATTAACTTAAATTTTCTAAATTTGTTTAATACTTACATTAAAAACAATCTAACATTTTATTTCTCACATGCCTTTAAGCCGTGCAGTTTGCAGCTTTCCCTGACTTCTTTCTGTTCCTTTTAGTAATTTTGCTTCGATTTTCAGATTTTTTAATCTGAAATCTGTAAAAGTTCCCAACTATGAGATCTGATTTAAGAGAGTCAAAGTCCTTCTAACTTGGAAGCGTACCGAGTAGTTAAGACTGTTGAGCACCTGCAGTTCGATTTAACTTCGAGTCCCATCGCACTAGCTCAATTGTTTTCGTGGATTTTCTCATATATACTTTAATAGCAAGGTATGAAATCCGACATTCTAATAGAATACCTAGGCACTTTATAGAATGCGGAAACTGGCCGGCTGTGTATAAAACCATTAAACATTTCACACGTTGTCTAAGTATTCTATAAAAAGCCAAATGACAAACCGCAAAGTATGAAACACATCTTTATGTTATATAACGCCTAGGGAAAGCGTATAATAATTCGTGCCATATATTTGCAATCGTAATAAATGTGACAGAGCATAGTGTCTACCATCTTGAACTTTTGAAAGAATTTTAAAACAACTATACGAGATCACAATTCATTTTATGTTCTAAAAACTAGTTTAGAATTGAAGATATTCCTGACCACGAAATTCCTCTATGGTCAGTTGCATTTGCTCAGTCTAATGGAAGCAGCCATGAATTCCTTCATATGCGAAACGAAGTGCCGAAATGTGAAATGTTTGTATGTGAAAAAAGTAATAAAGTGAAATCAAATCTCGCTGAAGTCCGCTTGCAACAATAATTTTAATTTCTTATTTTTTATACAAAAAGTTTGTTTTCTTTAATAAGAAAGGCATAAATTTCGTTTCGCACAAATTTAATTTTCGTTATGTATTTTGAATAAGCATTATTTTAATTGCACTTTCTCATTCATTTTTTCAAAATAACATTTGCATTTGAGGAATGCACTTCTTTTAAAATAATAGCTTTATCATGACCTTTTTTACAAACTTTGCCTAAAGAGCATTTGTCATTTTATAGAATGCCTAAATATTATATACAATGCATTGTAATTATTATGTAGGTAAAATACATAATAATTCTCATATTTCATACTCCGCCTAAAAATACTATACATTCTATAAAATACCTATTAGATATTCTATAAAATGCAGACGTTTCCTACTGTGTCGGTAACGTTCATGAAAATGAGCAAAATTCCCTGAGAACGTTCTCCACGATAACATCCCTATCCTTAAACAGATTGCTCTTTTATACTTTAGATTATGTATCAAAAGGTCTTTCTAATTTGTAGACAGACATACTAAATTTCAGAAAAAATAAATTAACTCAAAATTACAGATCTTAGCTTTCATCCTCATTCAAATACTTTTGAATAAAATATGATGAAACAACACTATTCAGTAATAAATTTCTGTTGAAATAAAATAGGTATTATTAATTAAGAGCTGTTATTTCAAAACTATGATAAAAACTTTACGTAAAATTTTGCTATATTTGCGAATGACAATCAGCGTTTAAGCCAAGAGATAAGGTTTTGTTAAAGTTAAAAATAAGCCTAATTTAAAATCGTCCTACAAATTCAGCTCTATATATACATATATGTGGTATTTTAATTGCCAGAAGTATGAGTAATTGGTCATTTGACTTTTCAAGTTAAGATGAATGCCAGCTAAAGATTGCAATAATGATGTACCTTTGCTGAATATCTGTGTTTCTTGCTATAGGCTATGTATGCTGAATATGCTGAATATCTGTGTATGGTATGCTGAATATCTGTGTTTCTTGCTATTTTGAAATTTTGTGAAACCGTTATTTTCTAAGGTATTTTCGGTATTAATTATAGATAATAAATCTATTAGCACATGGTGGTCATCTACTGTTATATGAAATACGTAGTTGTTTTCATTGACGTGGCAGTACAAAACATGAATCTTTTATTGTCTCACTTCCGTTTAAACCTCCTTTCTTTGAGTAATGTCAGGGTTAAGTATGAAATGTGCATGAAACCAAACTCACATCACATGACTCTCTTCCGCCAACCAGCTTTCACCGAAATGATCAGAACTTGATTTCTCCGCCAGCACCTCACAGCAGCCTCATAGCTATTGCTACTCGACGATCTTCAGACTTATTGTTTAAAGTATTTACATAATTATAGTGACTTTAAAAAAACGAAAAGGAAGAAAAGAAGTTAACCAGGTAAAATTGGTTTGGTTTTGGTTTATTTAATTATGGCAAAGCACACTAGGGCTATCTGCCTAAGGAGAGGGATGCCTTCGTGGAGGACTTTTTAAGGAAAACTGGCTCGTATACACGTTACACATGGGGAAAACCACGAAAACGCCCCTGCAGCCAGCCCGTTCGCGGGATACGAGCCTCGGACCGAACTACCAATGTTCAGCGACTTTACCGCTCGGCCGCTGGTGGGCCCCAGGTAAAATTGAATTAAGTTCGCCGCAAATTTCCACAAAATCATTTATAAAATGCAAACACGAATTTATCCTGAGGAATTTGTTGAAGATGATGTTGAGCAGTTACATTTTAGATCCTGTTTTGCAGAAGAAAAGAAAGTAGCAAGTAGCAATCTATCTAGGCCTAGGAGTAGAAAGCAAGTGACTTCTGTTCAAGATGAAATCTTAATTCAGAATAGGTTAGTTTCCGTTTCAATGCATTTGATTGGATAATTCATAACGTGTAAAATTTTTATTTGCTGTTTTAATTCCATTTACTTCACCAGGGATATGTTAGGGACAGATGATATGGATTAGTCTCGAAATTACGCTGTTCAGAGGAGTTATTACTATTTTTAGAACAGAGAGGGAAAATACCGAAATTAAAATTAAGCATTAAGTGACTACTGCTAACTTAAATTATTTATTATGTATCATTAAAGACATAAAGTAAGAAATTTAGATCTAATAAATATTTCAAAAAGACCAGAAATTGAAATTCCTAATTAATAAATTTCAAATAATTATATAATGCAACAAAGAATTTTAAAATGTTAAAACCAAAAAATTTCAAACACGCAAAATCCCACTTCTGTATATATATATATATATTGAAGTGGGATTTATGGGAATGAATTATTTGTAAATTATTTCGAATTCGTATATATTAAACAATTTGGGAAATCATACTTTTCCCGAAAATTGCTGTTTGGTTATTAAGTACTATGTGCTCGATTACCTGCTGCAAATAAAAAGTAACTACAGTTGTTTTAAATTTATTTTTTTTAAAACAATGAACATACAAAGTCAGTAGCAACAAGTTTTACAATACACTTATGGGATAAATACAGTAATAAATAAAAAATTACCCCAAAGTACACAAATGCAGCATTTCAAAAAGGAATAACGTAGCAGTAGATAAATATCTACTCGCAACTGTAAATTCATTCTCATTTGAATGAATCACCATATACCATGACATCTTTAAAAAACAGCAACTTTGACATCAAAAAGTTTTTGAGGAAAGAAATTCATTGTAGAAAAATTACAAAACCTACTCATTCGTGTACAGAAAGGAGCAGCATATTGTTGCGCATTGAGAGAAAATACTGATAATATTTGTTTGCACATGTTGTTTTACTGAATTGAACATCTTACAAAAGTTTCTTTTCGATTAACGGTTACACGAACATAGGAATTTAATTTCATCTATTTAACTGTTTGTATTTAATGATATAAAGATTAAGGAATTTTCAAAATTAGTATTCTGAAAATTTTGGTTAAGACAATAAATAAAATATGATTTGTTAAATATGATGTATCTCAAAAATATTATATCTATAAAATATTTCATTTATATCAAATCTTTATAATAAAACTGCACTGGAAAAACATACATACAGAAACAAAAGTGAATCATGAGACGAAAACATAAAAATGCTCACATCAGGTAGAAAAAAACAAAAGTAATTTAAAATGAAATAATTGTTTTATGAGATCTTATACAGGAATTCAAGAAATGCAGCCTCTGAAGGTCTTGAACATTTTATGACAAGTATAAATAATTTTTTTCTAGTAATTTATGCAATTTTATGTTAATTAAGAAAAACGAATAAAGATGTAACTTAACATAGTACAAAAATTTTGGATGATCTTAGTGTAAAAACTAAACTGTTATTTAAGTTCAAAATAAAATAAATATATTATAGTATGTTGGACTGCAGAACGGGCTTACAGATTGCAGAACGAGAAACAGAATACTGAAAATGAAAGATTATTGGTATTTATTTTAACGTTACATATGATATCTCTGAAATTAAGTTACTGAAATTATGTTGATTCAATTTAAATTAAATTGTTTATAAGTCAACGTATAAAACACTTCAAACTTACAAAAATACAAAAATCCATACATTTTTAATTGTAAGTTTAATGAAAAATTTAAAAATATCAATGCTTTTTCTAATTACAGCTTGCGAAACCATCGCAATTTTGTACCAACTTTTATTATGCCCCATTTTTTTGGCCTGCTTTAGCTATTGATCATCAGTCAGATGCGTTCCTCAAAAATTCAATTTTAAAACAAAGAACATCCTAGGGGGTCTTTAAATATTGTATCTATTTTCTAACAGTTAAAATTTAATTTATTATTTAATTCAAGCCGGCATAATTTACTTTTTGATCGGAGGAATGACTGCTAGCTTTGCTAAAATAATTAGAAATTAAAATTGAGTAGGTTACTTAGACCTCTCAAACATTGAAAAAGCTTTTATAATTACAAAAACGTTATTTCTTTTTGCTTAAAAATACATTCTATAAAGTAATTTTGTTCCAATTTTATTACACTCTTCTGAGGAAATTTTAATTTAAATTTTTGCACTTTTTATTTTATTTACTCTATACTAAGAGCAGAAATGTATATATTTAGTGCGTTTACTTATATCGGTCAAATTTCTTAAAAAGGTAAGCTTCAAAGCGATTTATAAATTATGAGATCAGGGTTAAAAAATATGCGAAATAGTAAAAATTGTTCTAAAAATGCCATTCCCTTTCCTTTACAAGAGATCTAAAAAATCGTTTAAAGGATTGAAAATTATTCATCGCTATCTAAAATTTACAAAATTCTCTCCCAAACTGTAGTAAAAGTATTCCAGAAAATTCTCAGTATACTTTTAAATTTTATGGGCAGTTTCTGTCTTATAATGATAATACAAAATTCAGAATTCATTCTAAATACAAAATTCAGAATTCATTTCTAAATTGTTTTCATGATATGTACTCTTAAACTTTCTCTGTTCTAAAATAATGTAACTCTCGCAAAATGTAGAATCTGAAATCATTATTTCGTGAAAGTCATTAAACAGTTAACATTAAAATAAAAATTTTCTGCGTAATAAAATCTTCAATTACATTAAAATGCTATTCTTAACTGGAAATAAAAACAAAGTTTTTCAGTGGAAGTACGATATATACATTAAGATTACATAATTCAAAATGTATTTCTTTCTTGAAGTTCTAAAAAATTGGCACAGATTAAAAGTAGGCTCAACAATTAACTGAAATTTTCAAGCTGATCAAGCGTAGTTAAGCATAAAATAAGCAATAATTAGCACCTGGGAAGATATACAGATATTTTACCATTTCAAAATCCTTGTCGAGTCCAAAGAAACGACTGATGTCTTACATAAAAATTCCTTCTAAAAGTACTTTGTTTTTATGTGCTGTATAATATATATCCAAAGATTTGCAATTTGGGAAACACTGTGTGGCCAGCCAGAAGAAATTATGAGTATTGTTCGAAAGCTCTATGGACATATCGTAGAATCTTCGGACTTCCATCCAAGAGTTTCGTTCTTGTTTTGTTCTTCTAAGAACTTGAGCAGAGGTTCAAAATATTCCAAGATAGGTCCAGCATCCATCTTGTTTGTAGCGCCTCCTGTCATGATCTTCATAGCTTCGGACCAATGCTCGGAGCTTCCGAGCTCCATTACTTGGCTGCAAAATGAAAACATACATTTGAGTTTTCTTCTACATTTTCGTATTTCGCATTAATTAGAGTCGAATCGTTATTTTAAGTATCAGGATTTAATAATTTTCTCGATGTCTTGCATTTTATTCTCCCAGGTGAGCAGAAAATGTTAGTTTGTTTTCCCAATCTAACAAACTGACAAAAATTTTCAATATTTGAAATTTTTAACATAATCTAATTAATATTATTCTTAAACTGGATATAAACGTGGATATTCTTAAACTGCAGATGAGATCTGTTCACACGTAAGCCAAAATTATCCCCTTAAAAACCTGGGACGAAACTAAGATGTTTTAAAAGTGTTAAATCTTTTCCAACGAAGTGTGGCAATAATAAAATACAGTACTCATATATTAGCTCAAAACAACACGCCGCATTTCGTTGATTTTTACAGAATAATGATAATTTTTAATTGCAGAAAATTATTTATTACACTCCTACATATCGTCATACTCATACACCGTACATTCATACATGCATTCTTTTAAGTAGGTATTTATTCCGAAAATCAGTCGTTAAACAAAGTTCAAGAGAATTTTTATTATCTTTCTTTTGTGAAAGCTTCGTGGTGATCGATTTAAGTACAGGTGCTAAAACCAATTGCTCCACTTAGTGATTCTGTGGTAAAATATCGTATTCATGCAGAAATGCTTCCTAGTTATTAAAACTGCAAGTTTCTAAATTTCGTTAAGTAAAAATTTAGAAATTCTACATTTTGAAAATTGGAATTATCTTATTTTTATCTAATGTAAAGGCTATGTTTAAAAAATGTACATTTGAAAATCTAATTTTGAATTACCTGCGTAGCTATCCTTAGGAAAATTTACATATTACCTTAACTTCCTCAAGGCAGACTTTAATAAAAATACACAGGGTAATTATGATTCGTATGACAACAAGGCATTTTTAATTTCACTGAATAGGATATAGAAGCTATTCTTCAACTAGGATTTTCTTTTTTTTATATCCCATTTTCCTTTTCCAATTCAAAACCCCCATGAGATTTGTGCTAAAATTCAACTTTCATATACTTTTACTAAAAAGGATTGATCTGTCTGATAATTTTCTGTCACAAAATACTTTTGGAGCCTTTTATACTTTGTGCAACACGCGGCTGTAAATCATATGCAGAAGAAATATTAGTATCTTTTAAATGGCTGAAAAAAATCAAACATTCAAAATTTTCTCACCTGAGTATTTGGCCTGCTTCTTTTGATTGATAAATATCACATTTGTACAGAGGACCCGTATGACCTGCTGCATCACAAAGAACTTTATGGAATTGGAATTGTATCACAAAGCTTACGAAATATCTAGAAAAGAATAATTAGAATCAATATTAAAATTAGTACTCTACATTTTAGATTTTTTTTCTTTAAATATGCTTAGAGTTAATTTGTTGAACAGACTTTGGGAAGAATGAAAATTATGTTTTTAGATTATACCTCGATAGAACAAGATTATATATTTCAGGCATATATCTCATCTTACACTGAAAAAGATCCCAACCGTCAAAGAACTGTTCAAAGGAACCACTACAGCTCCAAAAAATTTCCCAAAATCAAGAACAGAATCATAACCAAAGTCATGCGAATATTTTTTAATCTCATTTTTTAAGCATTAACACTAACACTAATTGCCTTGAGTTGAAAATCAAGAAAACATTTGTAGCATTCTATGAAATTAAGCACCAAGCGAAAACATTTTTTCAAAATTTCATTTTATGATTCTTATTTTGACAAGATAATCTAATATTCTCTATTTAGCGTCTAATTTTCAATGGTTGTTGATTCAGCTTATCGTTTGTAATTTTTTGTAATTATTTAACGCTAAAAAAAGAATTATATCGCATGAAAACTGTAAATTTAAGTGCAATTTTAACAGATTAATTTCTTAAATATACATTACATTTATCATTATTAAATTTATGTTCTACAAACACATTAGAAAATTTTATGTTCTACAAAAACGTTTAAAAGCACATAAGGAAAAATTATGCTTACAAATGTAAAATTATTTGCATTCAGTGGACAGATTTTTTTTTCTTTCTTTTCTTTACAATTTGCATATTTAAGTTAAGATTTAGTGGCCATTATTTGGTACATAATGAAAATAATGTGCCACAGGTTAATTTTTTTTTCTTTGTGCATAAGCTTAGAGAAGGCTAATAGCTCTTGCGTTTTTTGAGAAAAGTAATAGGTTCTTTCAGGATAAGAGCATATAGTATTCTGTAATAATGAAGCTTTGCTGAAGTAATTACACAGCAATATTTAAAGAAATGAAATTTTTATGTAGATAAAAGTCAAATTAAAAGAAAGTGAGTACTAATAAAGCATATTTCTTTCAATATCGATCCCATTCATGTAATAAATAAAGTTTCTAAAAAGAGACACAAATTTTTACGAAAACAGTTTCAACACGGTGAATGGGAGTGTTCTGTAATTATAAAATCTAGCATTATATATGGTGTTAAAAAAAGTTCCATACCTTTCAAAACTCACAAAATTTTAATAAAAGATAATTTAGACTAATAATAAAAGCTAATTTAGCACTAAAAAGATAATTTAGCACGAATTTAATGATCCAGACTGCTATTAATCCGTAATTTCCTATGAATTCGGCAATACGAAATTTTTCTGAGAACATCATATTATTGTAAATTTCTGTAAATATTTAAATCCCTTTGATTTCATCATTGTTTTTGTTTATTGTTTTATTTATTTATTCCTTTAATCTTTGCATTTAGGGTAATAGTTTTAGAATTTATTTTGTGTATAAGTGAATTTGGGGCCACATGCGTTCTATAAGTATTTATTTCTTGTATAGGATTGTAGATCTTTCAATTAAGAACCCAAAGACGTTTAAATTGTCAAAATTGCTCAACTAAAACGCAAGATGCGGATTGTCAGGGGGAAAAATGCTCCTCATGAACCTTAAACCCTTGGAGGGATTTTTTTCCAAAGATTCCAGAAGCCCATGCAGTGCCATATAAATACTATTTACAGAGCCAGAAAGAGACGGTAGGTTTTGAGAGCTCGCCGTGCAAAAATGAGTTAATGAATAGAATTTGTATTAGACGAATTGTGCGTTAGCGGTTAGTGTGTGAGTGGATAACGGGAACTTACGTTCTAGTATTTTATGAAAGATTTGTCTATTATCTGCACTTTCTTCGAGTTATTTACAGCTATTTATTTTGTTGTGTTTTTTACTTTATTTTCCCAATAAACTATGAATTTCTTTCTGCTCATCTGCAGTGCATCGTTTTTAAAAATCGTAACCCCGCAGCTTGGAACAGTATTTTTTCTACCAAGGTCCTAATTTTTATTAAAATTGCTCTATCTGTCTTCATTGAAATTTATTGTAATTAAAATTATATACTGTATCATAAATATTTTTTCGAAATTGAGAAAATAATTTTAAATATTAAATTTCACCCGTTAAGATTCCAGGACGCATCCATGTACAACTGAAACAGGTTTCGCATTTGCGATCTTTTTTAAATTCCTCATATTATCGAATGATCATGCTCAGGACTCGTTGCAGTAAATAGTTATATGGTGTAATAGATTTATCATAAAAGAAAATCTCATAGTTTAGAAATTTTATAGGTATCATTTTTCAATTGCGAGAATGTAGTTGTTCAATCGATTACGGCAAAGCTTACGAAGTTTATCTGCCTAAGGAAGGGATGTCTTTGTTGAAGAACTTTTAAGGAAAATACTCAGGTCAACGCACAAGGATGAAAAACGTTTTTGCTCTATCTAAAACCAACAGCAGGGCATTTTGCTTGTTGATCCTTAATTCAAGAATGACCAAAGTCCTGCGGCCGTTTATCCGTAACCGAAAATGTTGCCCACGGTGCATCACAGAGGACAACTAACATCCTCTCAAGAAAGGATGCATGCAACTACTAATGTCCATGGTTTTTCGGGATTCGAGCCAGCCCAAAAATATGATAATCCGCGCCGCTAACCGCCATATAGAACAGGGTAGCTCGAAAATACTGGCCGAATTAAGACCTAGGTCGAACTAACCATCATTAGCTGTCTTATCCGATAGACTCCTGATTGTCATTTTGTAGAGAAAATAATCAGAAAATGTAAGCAGGTCAGAAAAACAAAGTTTCAGATGAATAAAACTTCATTGATCTGTTAGAATAGATCATATTAGAGCTAAGGTAACACACCATAATATAACTGGTTAATAAATGTAAGCATGAATCCAAAAAATATGTAAAATACAATGCTTACAAATTACCTTCTAGTTGCTTGAAATACAGTTTTGAAACTGTGGGACACTTTTATAGAAATATTAGCATAAATACTGACACCGTGATAATGTGATCATAAGTGACTATGAAAGATTATGATATCATAAGGTCATGAAATTTTGCGGTTTATCTCGTGAGTGTTCAGTGAATTTTGTCTTTTTCCCATGATCAAACTACTAGTTTACCAAGTGCCAACGAAACTTTAACAGTCTGAAGTTAAATTATAACGCAATTACGTAAACAAAGGCTATTAATTTTGGTGGTTAATATTTCCATTTTAGGTGAAATAATATTTATCAACTCATTTGTATCTTTTCGCGGGGTGCTGTTAAATACTAACACTTCCGTAAATTTTATCGCCAAAAACGTGATGGCCTGAAATTAATAACATTTAACACATGAAGTCATTATTCTGAAATTTTGGTTAACGAGAAAAATATAGAAATTTAGATTTTATGTTTGTAAAATGTTCCCACCTGTAGTGTTGAAACTGATTTCATAAAAGTTTCACATTATTATGAGAAATTTTCTAGCTAGAAATAAATGTCTACGACCAATATCTAAGGATATTTCTGCCAATATCAAAATTCTGTGTCTCGATTTCGGGCACACTGTATTGCATAATGCATATTTATAATTCTTACTTACCTAATGTAAGGAACATTTCCAGGCACGTGATATTTTGCACCCGGATCAAAATCGGTATCTGTTCGTTTCACTGGTGGGCAGATACCTTGGTATTTTAATCTGTAAGAGGAATGAAACATAAGTTACTTCCACAGTAATCAACATATTTCTATCTTTAATCGAAATTTAACAAAACATAGATTTGCTCTAAATATAGCCTACTAACTTCCAAAGAAAAAGACGTGGCTTTACATTTAACGTAAAACAGAAAAGTTATCTGTCAAGTGACTTCAAATTTCTCAAAATACTAAGCATAGCTGTTTACTTATGACTATGTTAATTCCACTGCTGGCCACCATAAATGCAACACCCTGAAAGAAGCATGCAAATAACATGAAATTTACAACATGCATTAGCGGAAGGTGCAAATGATAGAATTTCGCACAGAGCACATCAACGCGCGTTGTGCCATTTCAAGCGCTATTTAAGGCTTGGTGTTTCGACAATTCAAGTTCAGCATTGCGTTTCTTTTAAAAAAAAAAAAAAAAAAACTTTCAATTATGCCTTGTAGTAAGAAGCGATCATCGTTTGATCAAGTATCAGAGTTCGACAGAGGAAGGATAGTGGCCTACCGAGAGTGTGGATTATCTTTCAGGGAAATCGGTAGTCGTGTTGGATAAAACCAAACAACTGTAATGCGGATATGTGACCGTTGGATGCAGGAGGGTAGGACGGAGCGACGTGTTCGATCGCATCCACCTCAGTGCACCACTTGAAGTGATGACAGGAACATTGTGCGCATGGCAATGACGAATCGCTCAGTCACATTTTGAACCATAGCACATTCAATCTGTAACGCATCATCCAGTGTCTGCGCGTACCATTCGACGCCATTTACAGCAGAGTGGTCTGTCATCAAGAAGTCCATTGCTTCGTCTATCCTTGACACAGAACCACAGACATCTCCGCCGCCAATGGTGCGATGAAAGAAGGATGTGGACGGTAGAATGGAATGAAATTGTCTTTACTGACGAGTCACGCTTCTGTGTGCAATACCACGATGGTCGGATTCGAGTAGACACCGTGGAGAGAGGATACTGAACAGCTGCGTTTATGCCACCCCCACACTGGTCTTGCACCGGTTATTATGGTATGGGGCGGTATTGGATATCACTCTTGTACGCATTGCCGGTACTTTAAACAGCCAACGCTACATCTCCGAGGTGTTGGAGCCAGTTGTCCTTCCTTAGCTTCAGGGCTTGCTCACAGCCATATTTTAACAGGCTAATGCGCGACCACACGTGGCACGCATTGTCCAAGGACTCTTCGTCAATCACCAGATTGAATTGCTTACCTGGCCGGCTCGCTCTCCGGATCGGATCTTTCGTCGATAGAAAACATGTGGCCCATGGTTGCTGAACGATTGACCCAGATTACATCCCAAGCTGTCACACCAGATCAGCTTTGGCAACGTGTGGAAGCTGTTTGGTCTGCTGTACCCCAAGAACACATCCAAAGTCTCTTTGTATCAATGTCGAGGCGTGTGGCGGAGGTGATCTCCAACAATGGCGGCTACTCTGGGTACTGATTCTGGAAGGAACCGCACTTCACAGAAGTCTATAAATTTAATTATTTGGTATTTGGTCAACATGTTATCTACTAAATAAATTTTGTTGTGAAATCTCTTGTCTTTCTTGGTGTTGCAATTCGGATGTCCAGCAGTGTACTTGAAAGGAATCGTGTTTAAATACGCTTGCAAACTTTTAAATGCTTAATTCCTACTTAGTATTTAGTACATTAAAAATGCTTTAAAAATTAAATTGCAATCTGAAAACTTCAATTAAGAATTTAGTACCTCATTGAATGAAATATAAATATTTCAAAAAGTTAAACAAAATTAATAAATTTTAAAATTAAAAAAAAATAGGATGTAGTCTTTGCTTAAGAGCTAAAGATTCGCTAAAATTTTTAAAATGTAGCTAAATATAGAATTTCGTTAAATTCAAATTATACAGTATTTCAACAAGGTTTTAAAACAGCGATTATAAAAGATAGAAAGAAAAATTAATATATTATTTCAAAATAAAATATTGTCACGTAAAGTCTTATATGTTTTTTTAAATAAGACATGATTTGATTATTAATGACATAGCTACCCATTTATTTCACCGGTCATTTCTGAAAAAGGCCTGCAAAGTACTTACAGGGTAATATTCCCTCACAGTCAATATAACCCTGTAAGTGTCAATACTATTTATTCAACCAGGCCACCAATCAAGCTCACTGAAAATAATAAAAAAAAAATACTTTGAAAGGGTTTTCTTCGAAGTGTTTAAAAAGAAAAAACTAATATAAGAAGGAGTTGACTGGATTTGACATAACTTTTCACCAATATTTCATCCCATCAATCAAGTGATTTACTACAGCAGAGAGCAATAACTGTTATTGATGAAAAACAACAGCTTGCAGTTTCGTAGAGTAGATGAGCAGTGTTGATGGGCAGAGACAGCTTTTCAAAAGCCGCCTTACCCTATTATCCTATTATTAAAGCCCTGTATAAGTCAAGAAAAATTGTAAGAAGAATTGGCTCAAGTGTACCCGTAGGCAAAACCGGGAGAATTGTAATAGTACCAATAAGAAAAATCATCATAAAAATCGAAGATAAATTTAATGAAACCGTATTGGTAAGCCAAATCTCAGTAAAAACCAACAGAAATGAAACATGAGGTTACCAATCGCGAAATGCCCATAAATCCAGTAGAAGTACATAGATACCAGAATAAAACATGTGGAATTATGAAGGTAACTGAAATTCGCAGACTATGTTGGTATGAAACTAAAACATGTAAAATAAATTCTGTAAAAAATTTCAGATAAATATGATAAAACTTTAAATAAATTGATGCTTAAAAGCTTATGCCGAGACTATTATTGAAAATTTTTGGAAAGATTTCGATTATCGTGAAAGGGAAGTGACAAACAGCTTAGAGAAACTATTTTCGATAATCGTAAAAGGAAACTGACAGACAGTCGGCAGAAACGAAACTAGCAACCTCTTTAGTTGATCATCCAGTATCAAACCCTCCAGCAACACGTTAGAATCAAAATTCTTCCAGACGTGGCCTTTGTGTAATAACAAAGACAATCGTAGGTGCAAAATAGACTTTCCCCCTCATATTAATTTGCCCGTTTTTCGTGGAGCAGATCATGTTTAGGCACATTATTTGATATTTGCATATCTCTATAGACGACGTTTCTTCAGTTCCACACATCAAAATCCTGGATACGTTAACTTGCGAGGCTTGGTAAACAAGCTTCGTTGTTCCTCAACAAGAAATATGAAGCAATATTTGCTTGATAGTCTGAAAATTATTACCTTGCTCATCGAAACGTTTTCCCTCACTTTTATGAAAAGGCATTCGTCGTACTTGGAAACAATCTTTAATAATTGAACAAACGTATTTTAAATGCGGCTGAAATCATTTCAATCATTTTTAAAACATTCGGATATTAATAATAAATTAAGAAATTGAATGTTAATCGTTTATAGAGTTTATACACAATCTTATTAATAACAATATGTAGGTTAGTACTTTCAGCAAGTTGACTGAAAGTAAAGCTTCAATATGTCTCTGTCCTATAAATTTCTTGGCCACATAGTAATAGTAATAGTATTAAATTTAAGATTATCGTTTTCTGTCATACCTGAGATCCCACCATTTTGTGTTCATCTCTTCTGTTTTGATATCTCCACTGAATAGACCCCATCTCCAGAGGTCAATGAGGTATCCAGAAGGCAAAAACGAAACTTTATCCAAAGCAGTACGCAACAAAAAGTTCAGATCACCCTCTGGGAGAAAAAAGAATGCTATTAATACTTTCAAATAGATATCTAGTAATTAGGGAGATATTACTCTTAGCGTCACAAATAATAATTTTTTAGATGAAGTAAAAGATTTATAAAACTTATGCAAATTAAAGCGAATGCTATTTTTAGATTTTCGAAACTGAAAAATGAAATTATAATATTTATTTTATAAACTTGTATGTTACATGTAAATTCAAAATAATAGCTAAATAATTTTGTACCCAGATACGCAATGTACTCTGTTAGAAATTCCTTTCTAATATTAAGCAGTTATAGTTATAAATTGAAAGGTAAAGATCACATAGAAAGTCGAAGCAACATTTTGAGATCTTACTATTTGTCAGGCCAAGAGAAAGACAAATTTAAAAAAAAAATCTTTGACAAAGTCTGCTGGATTGCTTAACCAATAAATTCCTCTTGACAAAATGAAACGATTTTAAAATTTAGGAAGATTTAGTTATAGACAATTCTAACGTCAAAATATTATAAGCATCTTTCTTTGAACAGGGAATATAGATAAAATTGTTTTTCTTGCTTGTATGATAGCTAAATGACACTGAAATTCATCTGCAATTAAATTTTCCTGTGTGAACTAAGTATATTATATTTAAAATGACTAGCCGTTTAACATAGTTATCATGAAATAGAAAAATACATAATAATTTTAATGAATCCAGCTGGAGTACCTTTTCTAGTCCAAATAGTAATTAATAATAATATTAAATCAAAAACTGCGTTTTCTGTTTCTAAATTGCTTAGTATGTTAATCAGTAACAGACAAATTAAGTTAAAAAAATAAAAAATGGAAATTGTAAATTTAAAATTAGGGTATCGAGGTGCACATATTAGGCTGAAAGACTATATATGTTTAAAATTTGGTACCGCAAATTTTCTGCAATACGAGGAATTAGATTCTTTATTATTTCTTAATCGATATAAAGATTATAACTTGAATTTCTTAATATATGCAGAAGATATTTATGTTAATTTTATCTTCGGAAAATCGTATTACATGATAGTCATAGTAGGTTAAACCAACGATTGCAAAGCATGCAAAATTTAAAAAAAAAAAAAAAAAAAAAAAAAAAAAAAAAAAAAAAAATTAACATGAAAAGAGTAAAAAATTCGTTGATTTTCTTATTGGGAAAATGCTATGAAATCACTAAAATGCTTGTATACTATATCTTTAAGCTGTGTGTTGTGTGCTGTTTACCATTGTTATTCCAAATCATACCCCTTACGGTACTTACGTATTAACGCAACCAGGCCAAAATTGCATAAATTGCGAAATTGGCGACCCTACTTACGGCAACCTACGTGTATCGTATTTTTGTAAAAAGAGCATGTGGAGATTCACAACAGTTTCCTGCATTTTCGTGCAATTTTGTAATTTATGAGGAAATAGCAGTGACATGGATAACGTCAGAGTGTGGGCGAATGCCATTTTTGTGCAATTCTGGGATGTTTTTAAAGTAAAAATAAGTCGACGTGTACATGGTTATGGCGAATACGGTTTTCAATCAGTCCTAAAGCAGCAGCCAAAAATTTCCGCCGAAAAAAATAATTCTGCAAACTTTCAATTCGAACCGAAGGGTTTTAATTGCTATTTTTATTTTTTAAAACAAAATAATACAAAAAAAGGTATTAAAATTTATTTGTAATTAATAAATGTTACATTTTTTCTATTCATACTTTTACTCAACTTACAAATAGCGCCAACCTGGTTGCGATAATACGTAAGTACCCTACTTACTAATGTTCATGTAAACGCTATATTTGCATCAAAAACTAAAATATTCCGATTTTAATCTAACATTTAAAAAAGTTAAAGGTAAAAAAATATAAAAATATTAAAAATATATGAAAAAATCATGTAATTAAATAATCATATATTATATAATTATCTGGTACTGGCTATGCAGATTTCAATTTAACACCTGAAATAATGTGAAGTTAGGAAGTTGCCACAGGTTTACTGTTTTAAGAATTAATTCCCAAAAAATCAAGGTTAAGAAAGGTAAAACTAGAAAAAACAGTGCAATAGGAGAAGTTTAGATTTTATTTGACTCAAGTCATTAATTCATATACTTATTTAATCAAGACAATTATTTAAGACATGGCTGTGCAGTTATTTCATTGGATCACTTGCTTATGATGCCTATAGAGTCTTTCTCTCTTGTTCCACATAAACTAGAATAGATCCTATAATGACCTGACGAATTTTCGCGCAGGCGTGAATAAAACTTTTGACTCAGACGAAGGGTAAAAATAACCCTTTATTAATTCAAAATAGTCAACAGAAAAGGCACGGGGCTTCCTGCGTTACAAAAACACCGTCAGCTTGCGGTGAAACTAAACGTAGAATATAATACAAGTCAAACCTGAAATAAATAGCACTTAAGTTACGCCTACTCACAAGAACCTAATCGGCGTGAGGCTAAATCTGATAAGGCCAAAGGGCTTACTTACGTAACAGCGAAATAACAACTAAACGTGCGCTTGGCTAGCGAAACACGCTCTGAATAAATTGAGATATTCACAGGTTTAAATAAGCACCTAGCTAACTTTAAATTTACATCCTGCCTAGAGAATGTGAAGGGAAGTTGAGAAGTCTAGAATAGGTATCAAACTTAAAATAAATTTGTTATGCAAAATAAGAAAACCCCTACAGGCCTATGCAATAAACATCGCGGATGAGGCTTCTTTTAAAGTATTTAAATTTTAGTGAATAAGTGATTGTTTTTAAAAGCATTGTATTTTCTTATAACTACTCTCGACAGTAAATTAATTTAGAATGACTCTGGTAATTGTTTAATATTTTTGGTTCAATTATAATCTAGGAAAAGATAGCTTTGATAATTATATTAATATAGCTTAGTCGCCTACAAAATTTGTAGATTTTTTTAAAATATCATAGTACATTGTAAAATCGTTAAAAATCTAAATGCTAGAAACACTTTTTTTTAACGTAACATTTCTAAATGTAAAAAAATCAATTGTGTGTGTTCTCTTTATACTAAATATCTCCTTTTATATTAAAAAAGATTTATAAATATGCCAAACCAGAATATTAAACTTTAAGCTAATTTGTATGAAACTAAGTAAACTTTTTAAACTTAGAAATAAAACTTTACGTAAGATAACTGCAGTAAAAATATCCTAAAAATATTTTTTTAAATCATGAACAATACACACGGACGCAAAATATATTTCTAAGCATTTCGCTCTTATATGTATGAAACTTTCAGTTTATTTTAAGAGAAAATGTTGTTTTTTTTTGGCCCTCATTTGATTATTTGCTCTCTTTCGCTCTTTTGGTTTTACTGTTTGCTTCGAATGAGGTAATTTTTAACTTTACCTGGATCATCAGCAACTTCTTTCAGTAATCCAATCGACTTCAAGTGTTTTGGCGTTGAGACAGATAAAGCTAAAACATCTCCGATAGCTTCATGGAAACCTGAAATATGAATAAGATATATCAGATTAATTACACTGCTTAAGCTCACTTGTTCTAGAATAAGGTAGTAACTATAATAATAATTTAATTTTCATAATCCATTTCAGCCCTTTTAGACAGTAGGAAAATGAACTTCCTAAGATCGAAAGGAAGAAACCCAGACTGTCGTAAGTCAGGTCTTATCTAGAAGAATCTGTCCTATTGTCTTTCCGCCAATGGCCCACCAGTGGTGGAGGGGTAAAATCGCTGAACACTGGTAGTTCGGTCCGATGTTTGAGTCCCGCAAACGGGCTGGCTGGCTGAATGTTTTCGTTTTTTTTCCCATGTGCAACGTCATACGAGCCAGTTTGTCTTAGAAAGTCCTTTACGAAAGCATCCCTCACCTTAGGCAGATAGCTCTCGAGGCTTTACCATAATCACAGAAACCAAAACCTCCGCCGATGATTCACTACAGAAATTTGCAAGGATTATATATATTCAGCAACACCCAGTATAGAAGTAAAAGAAACAACACTGAAGGTAATACTATAAGTCACTTTTGTGGAACGTACAGGACAGGCTAAAATTCAGAGAGCTTGAGGAACCGGTTTTTTTAATTAATGAACCAAATGCACTGATATGAAATGCAATACCTGCTGAACAGATGGAGATTTAAAAATGGGCCGAAAAGCAAGCTTAGATTGACGCAGATTTTGCATAAAATTCTATCGATTTCAAGGGGGATCGGACATTTGTTGTATGATTTCATTTTTATAAATATCATGTATGTATTTAATATCTCATTTTTCATTATTATTATTATTCTGAAGTAGCGGCTCTCGTTTACCGCCCTCTTCTTTAGTATCGTCTCTCCTGCAATCGAGCGACCTCGTGATACGCTTGTCGGCCAAGGGGAGATATGTTCTTTCGATCGGACACACGGTCTTTTGAAAACAGAATACATTTATTAGTCCAAAGGGGCTTTGTCCCTGAGGGACCATTGTTTTCGTTTTACGATTTTGCGTCGAATCACTCTGAATGTCCGTTTCACTTTTCAAACTCTTACCACCAAATATTATTGCTCTGTATTATATTTGAAGAAATTAAATAATGAAGAATCTGCATAAATGTATGTATGTTTCTGGCATTGTGATAAAACAACGGTACCTAGAGCCATCGAATTTTAAATGACGTAATCCTACTGCGAATACAGGCATGTGGAAGAACAAATTTGAAATTTGGAATTTGTTTTATTATCGATTTCATATTTTGTAAATCTTTAAAGAATTTTTGACTAACAAACTCAACGATTTGAAAGCGCAACAATCAACATGGCAACAATCAACGGGGCCGGGAGAAACATTTTTATCTCCAGCGTGCGGAACTGTGTATCGGAAATTCTAAAGATAGGCTCATTTTAAAATTATTTTGCGGCATTGCTATTGAACTGAAATTTATGATTTAAATGCGAAGAACATGATATTTAATAAATAAAGGTAACACACAAAACGTTAAAAAAAGGCCCTTTAAACGTAATTTAAAATCTAAAACCTTTCAGATTTTTTTTTTTCTTTCTTTCTTCTTTCAAAATCCTACTGCGAATATGGGCATCTAGAAGCCCAAACTTGAAATTTGGAATTTGTTTTATTATCGATTCCATATTTTATAAAACTTTAACGAATTTTTGACTAGCGAGCTCAAGGAAGGATCAAAGCGAGCAATGGCAACGCTGTGAAAAAAAAAAAAAAAAATCTCTAGCGCGGGAGACTGTGTATCGAAAATTCTAAACATATGCTTAATTTAAAATTATTTTGCAATTGATTTGGACTGAATTTTGTTTAAGTGCGAAGACATGATATTTATAATAATGTGACATCCAAAATGTTTAAAAAAACTCCCCTTTGTACGTAATTTAAAAGCTGAAATCTTTCAGATTTTCTTTTTTTATTTATAAGTTCTTTTTCTTAAAGAGCGAAATATTTTTTGCAAAAAGAAGAGGAGAGGATACTTTGTTCATATGGAAATTAATGCGCGAAGGCGGGAACGAATATGACCGTTTTTCGAGGTAAATTTTGAACGCTTTGAAAAGAACTGTGTTAGAATTAATATCATTAACAGAAGATAAATTTTTGTGAACCTGTAAGGCTTAAAGAAATCTAGTTCACACACAAAAAAAAAAAAAAAAAAAAAAAAACTTTTGTGGACAATTTTCTCAAATTCGTTGAAATTGCTATTAAGTACCCAACTATGATTTACTATTGTAGATTTATTTATTTCCAAACACTTTTAATCTTGACGAAGGAAAGTCTGTCTTATCGCTTCGGGGCCCACGAGCCGCCAAGCGGTAAAGTCGCTGAATACTGGTAGTTCGGTCTGAGATTCGAATCCTGCGAACGGGCTGGCTCCATGGGCGTTATCGTGGTTTTCCTCACGTGTAACGCGTATACGAGCTAGTTTTCCTTAGAAAGTCCTCCACGAAGGCATCCCTCCCCTTAGGCAGATAGCCTTAGTGTGCTTTGTCATACTTAAATAAACCAAAACTTATCGCCTCTCGAAATCAATTAAAAAAATCTATGCCAACATGGGCTGCTTTTCCGCTTAATTTTAAATTTTACACTTGCGTGTTTGTCTTGGATGTAGATACTGAGACTAGTTTCGGTAAGGAAGAAGACATTTCTTATAAGTTAGGTTTTTTTGTCCTTTCGCAAAGTCAGGCTTTTCCAACTAGATTTTTTACAAGCCAGATATAGATGACAGATATAGAGAAGTCAGTTATAGGTAGCAAAAAAATAAATTTCTTTACAATCATAAGCATATTTTTAAAATTTATTTATCTTTGATATTATCATAAGTAAAGAAAACATTTTCATTTCATTAAAATTTTTTTAAATTGATTATTGTTGTTAATAGAAAAACGCTGATGTTAAGGATTAGGCTGAGCTAATTTTTTTTCTTGTTTACATCAAAGAGATAAAGGTAAATTCATAGTCGTATGAAACTTTCTCAAGTTTAGAATCCCTTTGTACCTGCGCTTTTGCAAACTCGAGCACAGAATAATTATTATAAGCTCTTTACTCTTGAATTATTAGATTTTCATTATTCATTTGCGGAATGTATTAATTTTAAAATTAAAAATAACATTACATAAACGGAAGGCAATGTTATGTTACTTTTTTATTAATATAATGTTGAAAGGTTTTAAAAATTTTTAAAGAGATGTAAAAAAATTTTAAAAGCGCCGAAACAAGAAGACGTCTTGGGGGAAAGATGCTTAATTATACTTTTTTTAAAAATTTATTTAATAACGTGCTCCGCGATTAGGCACTACACAGAAAAGGAGGGATGCGCCATGGATGGCTTTTTAAGGCTCGCATGCACTTTACATATGGGGAAAACAACAGAAACGCCCATGCAGCCAGTCTGTTCACCGGGACTCGAATCACAGACCGACTTCAGCTGACTTTTAGCAACGGAACTGGAAGTAAATGAGGTTTCTAATCTGGTAGCGTGATAATTCCATCTCAGACAGCTTGTATTTAATGATAATGATTTTTTTTTTTTTTTTTTTTTGGTAATTTCCACAACACAGTGTTCTAAAGCAAGTCTCTTTCTTTCAAACGCCGGAACTCGTTTGACAAAATATGATTAAATACGCCAATGCGAATTTGTTTGCGCAAATGATGTGTTGGGTGGCGGGAAACTTTCGTTAAAACCCGATAGTTCAATAGATCAACAACTGAAAAACATTAATAACTGAAATTAATTAAAAAGTTTTATGTTAATTTTGTTTAATCCTAATACACGTTAATGAAATTTCTCAATTATCAGTATCTTACTCGGGATTTTACAAGAATTTTCTTTTCTACTAAAAGCAATTCTCGGTGAATGGTGTTATTCACCATATAACTATTAAAATAAACGTCATCTGCCTCGTAGGTAACACTATCTTCATTTCCGTTTATAGTATTGCTGATTTATTTGATTGATATATTTGAACTATCGGATGATTGTTTTTGATCTAATTCTATATACATTTCGACCTGACACTCAGCTTTAACTCACTTGATAGGCTTAGCTAAAAGAGACGACAAATTATTCGACACGTTAGTGATTTATATGGCGATTTTATATTTGGCTTATGGGCCCACCAGTGGCCGAGCAGTGAAGTCACTGAGCACTGGTAGTTCGGTCCGAGTTTCGAATCCCGCGAACGGGCTGACTGCATGGGTGTTTTCGTGGTTTTCCTCATGTGTAACGTGTATACGAGCCAGTTTCCCTTAGAAAGTTCTCCACGAAGGCATCCCTTCCCCTAGGCAGATAGCCCTAGTGTGCTTTGCCATAATTAAATACACCACCATATATTTAGCTTATGCACAGTTCTCCGTTTTGACTGAGTTTTTGGTGAAAGTTCTTACTTCTCAGCTTGTATAAGGATCGGGTTATATTCGGAATTATACGATATTAATTAAATAAAATTTAATACTGGACTTTTCGTTTGCATAAAACTTCTTATAATTTAAATTCGATCAAAAAATTCATATGAAATTTCGAAGTTTAAATGTTAGTCAAAATGCTTTTAATGATTAATCAATAGATAAAAAACTCGCTTTATTATTAAAATAATTTAAAGTTAAGATACAAAAATTATTAGCAATTAAATTTAATACCACATATTTAACTAAATATTCAGGAAACTTAGTTAGTGCCTTAAAAAGTTTAAAATTTTGCTGCTTACATGAGCATCCAAAATGAAGCTAGAATAAAAATATATGCTTTTTCTAAAGTTTCTGCTGTTCAGCAAAATATCAGCTATATTTTCGCAGAATATCAGCTATATTTTAGCAAAATATCAGCTATATATTTAGGGTATCAGATTTTCTGTACTGTCAAAACAATTTGTGTTTGAGTTTCGACTAGCTTACCAGGATTAGCTCCTTCTCTGAAAACATTGGGTTGCCTGGCGTACTGAAGGAAATATTGAATGTGACCCATTTCATGATGAACTGTTATCAGATCTTCCATAGTGATATCTGTGCACTGCTTAATTCTGAAAGAGAAAAAAGCGAGTTTCATGAATATGAATTTCCTGATTAAAGATTGCGTGCTCAGCTTCGAAAATAGCAGTTTATCTATATTTAAATACTCTGAATACGAAATGAAATCATGAGACTGAATTTTAAACTGAAATTTATTTGAATTAATCCCAAAATGTTGAAAGAACCACTAAATAACTGACCAACCACTAACGTAACTAACACCAGAATACTGAAATGCTACCAGCTATCGGCTGGCAAACTACTATAATAAATCTACCAACGTTTAAAATTCTCCCGCCATACCATGATCACGTGACCCGGCGCACAATTGTAAAGTGCAAAGACAAAGTCCTAGCCTACTGATTACATAATTTTTCCTTCAATAGCAGTAGCACACTTAAGCTCAGTCCATATCGTTATGTTTTTAAAACTTACAAGTACCGTATTAGCAACAAATACATATTGAAATGTATTCGCGGGGGCATTATATTGCTTCGGTAACCGCAAGTTTGAAACCACTGATATACAACAAAGAAATTAACACAATTCTGCTATCGAAATCAGCGCTATTCATATCAGCATTTCTAATTCATGCGACGCAAACCGAACCATCAAAGGTATCCTGCATTTGAGAATGCTAAAATTCCTCTGCTGCATTCCATATCAATGGTTTGCAATAAAGGGATTCATATATGTTCTCGAGTGCTGACAATGCTTTTGTTCACAACGATTAAAAAATTTTCTAAAGCTTTATTTTTAGAATACACTTAAATATCCTATGGTATATTAATAAGTAAGCATCAGTGGTAATCACATATATAAAGTTATAGAATCATATAACATCATGCTTAGAACACTTGCTATAGCACATTTTAAACAGAATGCAAAATCTGCAGATACGTTTTATCCCAATGTAGCCAATTTCAAATTATTCATTCGTTAATATATGGCTAGATTCTATAATAAAGCTATGGAACTTCACCATATGATTTATAGACGTATCTCAAACGCTCGTCCCTAAAGAAAACAAATTATCCCAAAATGTGTGGTTTGATTGTACTATAATAAAGCAATGGAAGTCCGCCATATAATTTCTAGATTTTCATAATTTTTTTTTAATCTCAAACGTACGCAATTAAACATAAAAATTATCCAAAAATGTGTGAAAAACTGCAATAAACGTCAATATTATGAGTTCAAAAACTGATACAAAACAAACCTCTGTTACAGTTCTAATAATTTCATAAAGTTGTTATTTGTTGTTTACTTAATGCTTTTGTTTGGATAAAAAAAAAAAAAAAAAAAAAAAAACTTACCTGTAATCTTTACCATTGCAGAAATCCCAAGCAGAGGCATGGCAAATAATTTCGCGATCCTTCGGTTTTTCTATGAGTGAATGTTTCCAAAACTCTTCTGGCATTGGTTTTAGGCCTAATGAGGTGAAGAATTCCTCTGATATCTTGAACATTTCTAGTGCGGTCATATTCTGCATGAAGAGGATAATTTTTACAAAAAATAGAAAAGTATAATTTGCCGGATTTATAATTTAATATCAATGTTGCATGTTAATTTCATTAATTAGTTTTGTAGCAACATCTTTAAACCTAGTTACTGTAAAATACATATGCATGAAATTTGATTTAAAAGGAAAGAAAATTTAGTATGAGAGAAAGAAAGTTTAGTATGAAAAGTTAGATTCATCAGTTAAGCTTTCATACTATTAATCAGTTTAAAACTGGATGGGTTAAATGACCTAGGCTGAGAAGGAACATACCGCAGTAACAGAAGTTATGAGATATTTTTTATTCAGAAGAAACAGCATATAAGGTAATTTATTAAACGACTTTATTTAGTAATTACAATCGAACTTCTATTAGCGGATTTCTGTTTTAGCAGATACTGCTCATGAATGGGCATGAATTCTAAGAGTTGCCTGAACTCTCGAATTAAACACAAATGCACCTGATGGGCATTCTATGGTAATGGATAAAGAATAGGTTCTGTAAATATCCACTATCAGGAGGTTCTACTGTGCATGAGATTTTAACTAAATTTAATTTTCTATCAGGTGCTATCTTAAGTAATAACAAATCATCATATTTAATTTTTTCTGAAGTTTATCGATCTGTTTTAAGGACACATTTTTTATTTAAAAAATATTACTTTACTTATTTTGGTAGATTAGAAGATTAGAGAAAGTTCAGAGATCTCAGACTAGTTTGAAGTTTCAATATTTTAGACCTAGATTGTACATTTCATCCAAACTACTTTTAATGAGTTGCATCACTTTTAAAATATCCTCATTAGTCGATAAGAGTAATGAGGATATTTTAAAAGATAAGATAAAATTATTATCCTTTTTCTGTTAACTGATAGAATAGTTATCGGTCCGTCATCTAAAATGGTCCCTAATTACTATATTTATATACTTTGCTTATATTAATTACTGTACACATAAATTCTGAGAAACTTAGACTACATGTTTTCTTTACTTTTTTGCTTCCCAAAAATTAAATTTCAGAAAAAATTTTCTTAAAACAAATGTTTCAAATTCAAATAAAAGAGACTAGATATCCTTAGACAAAATTCCATGAAAATTTGTAATTTTATTGTCTGACCATCCCTTCCTTTAAAAAACCTTAATTTAAATCTGAATTGGAGTTAAAACAACAGCCCGTTCTACAAACTACACCTTCCACAATAACCCGAACGAATGGTAAGCAAAGGGAAACAATACAGTAATTAACTAGATAAGATTTGGTTTATTTGATTAAAAGAATGCATAATAGGGCTGTTTACCTGAAAGGATTTTCTAAGGGAAACTGGTTTATATCCACGTTATGCACGGGAAAATACACGACATGCAGCCAGTCCGTTCTCCTGTAATCGAACCCAGGTTAAATTACTAGTGTTCAGCGACTCTACCGCTTGTCGCTGGTGGACCAGTTGGGGAAGGTAATCTATCTATCCCTACAGTGGCTAGTCCCTTCAATGTTCAGCTCTATCTGAGAAATTAACGTAGGCGCCAGCATAATTTGATTCAGAACTTAGGCCGAGAATGTATGTTTTTGCACATCCAATATGTTGGATTCCTTCATTATTTTAAGCAGAACCTGTATCATATATGCTGCAAAAGTTTCTTTCGCATCGTATGCTTATATCTAGATTTATATTTCAAGCACGTTGCAGTTCATATTTTAAGACATGTAATTTACTTCAGACACAAACATTATGATATCAACTTTATGACATTAACTTTATGATAAACCTTGGTACATTATAATGGAAAATACTGAAAATACTTAGACAACTGAGATGGATTTTTTTCAAATCCCTTCATATTAGTATTTAGTCAAATGCCTTATCAATCTGCTTTAGCAATTATAGAAAATTCCATGTTTTTAATGCAGTTAGTTCAAAGAAAGTTTTACGGAAAAAAAAAAGTTTATTAAAATTTCTAGGATTTCTTGTAAATTTTTGAATGCTAATCAAATAAAAAAATACTCTCTCGTCAGAAAAAAAAATTGGGCAGAGAATTTTTTTTAAATGCATTCTGATGCAAGGTACGGCATGGAGTCTTAAAGGTCTAACGTAGTCCTATGTTAAATCATCCCATGTAAATTGGATTGTTCCTGGATATTCCTACCGATTTTGAGGTTAGGTAGAAACTTGACAGAGCAATTCATAACGTCACAGATATGTTATATTAAGGACAGATGAGCCATGGCAGAATGTCCATGGCTGCAAGGTGAGCCTCTGAAATGCTAATAGCATGAGGACGAGCGTTGTCTTGCTGGAATAGAGCAATGGGGTGGACGTTCACAGATGGCAGGGTTACTAGCCGAAGAACTTCATCAGCATATCATTGTACTGTCAAAGCAGCTGTGATGACGACTAACGGTGATCGAGCATAGAAATGAAAATCTAAGCCATTTCATGAAACCCATTTGTCTGGACATGTGACCACAGAACCCTCTCATTAGAGCCGACTATGTTGCTTTGTTTGCGAATGTATTGGTCATCTACACCAAGACAAAAGCAAAGCTCATTATTAAAGATTATTCGCTGCCATCCAGCTTGCTTTATGATGCTCTTTCGAGGGATATTGCAGTCTGTAAGGACTTTGCTGGGGTGTTAAAGTACGTCGTCGTAACGGCATGTAAAGCAGCGGCATGCAGCAGTGTACTAACGATTACTGAGACGTACAAGATGCATTAGAAAGGAGATCATTGCTTGTTGAATGTACACAATATGACAGGTTGGAACTCTTCAGGCATGTCAGAAAATTCTTCGTCTTTCCCTTTTTGCTGTCTGTGAAATTTCGCAGAGCCATATTGTGGGTGCATATCTTCCTAGTCAAGTGCCATGAACAGCGTGTATCCGGAATATATGCACGGCAAATATAGCATGCAATACGATGAAATGACATTCCGATTCATATTGTCGTAAGATCCCTCTCAAACAGTTGTTGAAATTGCTGCCAATTTCGTATCAAAGGTATAGCATATTTTGAATGAATGCTTTCAGTGCAATAACACTAGTAAAACAAAACTGCGCGTATTGGGACGACCCTTTACATAACGGCAATTAGCCTCTCTCTTGGCTGATACTATTTGTGTTCAAGAGTGCAAAACTTAAATCATCCGCTAATGTAAAAGTAATTAAAATATATGCTTGGTTTATTTAGGTAAACTGCTTTCTTGTAGGTAAAAGCTTTCGCGTAATTTTTACGTAAATAATAAAGATTTTTAAAAGTTGTAGATAGTTCTGTATGACGCCCTAATACTTAGAAACTTTCATATAATATGAAAATTAGAACGACTACTTGAGTATCTGGTAAAATATCTGGTTGACAGTTGACAAAATAAAATTTTCAAAATGTTTTTTCATTATTGCGGTAGAGTTTATTATTTAATTAAAAATATATAAATGAAAAGGTAACAAATGAAATACTGATATGTGTTATATTTTTAATTTATTCTAAGGCGATATTAAAATAACTTTTTAAAACGAATTTTTTTCCAGCAAAATATTAGAAGCTCTGTAGAAAATAAATTCAATTTTATTTTGTACAAAAGTGTCACCTTAAATCAATATAATCAGAATTTCAAGTAGGGTATAAAGGTTATAATTGCCTCAAGAAACAAAAAAGTGATCACTCTTATTTTCTATAAAATGAAAGTTTAGATTAATTTTACTTTACGCATCGTAATTAGCTGAAACATGTTCATGTTCCTTCCTTTCCCAAATTCGATTATTCGAAGAAATTCAAGAACTTCATGAGGATCGAGCTGTCATATGTGTGGTGGTTATGAAAGGATTTTAAAGTAACGTTTTCCCATGGTATGTTATTTTAAAAATACTGTAAAAGTGGTTAGAAGTGAAACTATTTCTGTCTACAGAATTACTGAATTTATCTTACTGCACAAAAAGAAAATCTTTCTTTAAAAACATTACTCATAATTAATTAATTAATTATTAGGAATAAATTATGTAAAATTAGATTACAGAGAAAATGTCATAACTTTTATTCAGTGAAGAGCAGTGATGCAGTTTGTAGTTATCAGCTTCAACAAAATTTAACAATTAACAGTAAGGAAAGTAGTATTTGATTAGAGAAGTCTCCCATCAAGTAACTGTACTTTTGTTAACGTAGAAAATAATCAAATATAAAAGTGTTGATTACTTCATGCACATCAAGGCATAAGAAAATCGTAGGAAAAGAAAGCATATGTATTTTTTGCATTAGCACTCAGAAAATGTTTTTGGAGATATGTAATTTAAACTTTCATGAAATCATGAAATTGATATATCTCATGTTGAAGTTTATAACAAAATGTTATTAAAAAACTTTTTCTAATACTTCAAATACCCATTAAAATTGTATTATAACTTAACCCTCCCCCCCTGTATGATTGCTAAAATTATGGTCTTCTTTCCTCCTGTTTGAAAATCCGTTTTATACATTAAATCTAAGATTTAAAATACATTGCCCTCTGCTTATTAAACTCGATGGCTAATTTACTGGTAAAGTCACTGGTTTATTAACTCACTGGTTAATAAACCATTATTAACTCACTGGTTTATTAACTCACTGGCTAATAAACTCAGTCGCTTGTTACGTTCAGATGCCCAGGATCCAGAACAAATGCATAGTAATCAATAGAGAGACTGCCGTATATTAAACTTATTTTTGCCGCAAGGAAAGTTTTTACTTCCGAAGATATAAACAGAAAATAAATTGTTTAAGCCTGCACTTTTATGGTTGAATATCATCCATTAGAATGATTACTTTTTCGGTTACGGTTAAAGGATTGTTAAGCCTCTGATACGGAATATTCTGTATTACCTGTATCAATTATGCATTATTCTGTAATAATTAACGATAGTAAAACTATCTTCTTTTTTTTATTGCGGGTTTCTCCACTTTACTGAAAGAAGCTGTACTAATGTGAGTGCATGTAATATCATGGCTGGCGAAACATTGGCGAGGTCAATAAAGTGCTTTTACAGTCTTATAGGGTGAGTCGTGCAGTAGATTCTCAAGGGCATTCTCTCTTTAATAATATATATTCCGTACCCACAAAACCTGCCTTTATTATGCTGAATCACACACCTCGCTCTTCAGCAGACAAATGAACAGACGCAAAAAAATAAGAGCATCATTAAAGTGCTGTTACCTTTGCTTCCATGATGGGCGTAACGTCGACGGATGGTTTTCCCGGGTAAGGCTGAGTGATGTCCAACAGAGACACCCACGATTGGGCCCACATGTTACCTAGAGGAAAGAAATAAATATATCAACAACCATTCTTTTTTCTTTCATTACAATTTATAAGAGTTCAGGGCCAAATGAGTTGTCTTGATAAATAATTGCTGAGGTTATGAAGATAAAGAAGTACATAAACAATATCTGAACTTGACAGAAAAATTCATTTGCCCCAGCGAAACATTTTGATCAAATTTTCTTAAACTCTTTTCCCTCGCAGCCCTTTTTATTAGATGTAACTTTCTCAATTAGTCTCACTTCTTGAGTCAAAACTTGTACTGAAAGTTGAATGTATATTTTCAAAAATGAAAAATAGCTTTAAAATTAAATTATATGAATATAAATAAAAAATAAAGAACCACGAAAAACACAGATATATTTTCATGTATCAATATTAGAGGAAGTACAAAGTCATCTGTAAAGATATAAACTTTAGTTTAATTTAGTTTAGTTTTAGTTGAATTATACAAAAACTAAAAATTTGCAAATGCTTCTGTGATTGTCAATAAATTGTACGCAGTTCTAAAATAGATCATGGTCTCTATTTAGAAAACTCAAGATTGGTTGGTTTTCTAATATTTCTCGTTCGCTTCAAAGAAATTTCAAATAATAATTTCTCGTTCATTTCAAAGAAAAAAGGGTTTAGTATTTTGGGGGAAATCCCTATGTAAATTATTGATTCTGTGTCTTTGCTGACATATGTGTTTGTTATTCAATCTTTTCACTCAAGAAAGTTTAAAATTTTAGATCAATCTTATGTAGAATTTAAATTTTAGGAATTATTCTAAAACTTCTTTGTACATTGCATTTTTAACTAAATCTAATTTATCTAATTTTCTCCTCTTTCAGCATTACACGAGAAATTCATTTTATTTCAGGAAACGTATATTAAGAAAAGCAGGGAAACTCTTACAACCCGTACTCTCGCACAGCCAACTGTAAATATATCTAAAAACGTGTCAAAATATGTATAATGTAATATGATGACTTAAACTAAAAGGGAGCGAAATAGCGTTTTGACTACAAGAGAGCTGAAGCAAAAGTGCTCAATTATCAGTATGGAAGATCACCAAGAAAAAGTTTTGGTTTAGGTTAGAAAGGTTTCAGTTCTCAAAATTTTAAGTTCCGAATTATATACATCATCAGCGTTACGCAAGCCATAAGATATGGAATGGTCTAGATATGGTGCAGTCCAGAAAAAAATTATTATGATTTTTAGAATAGAGAGAGGGAATTAATTTAAATTATAATTTTAATTTGCACATATTTTATATTATAATTTTGATTTATAGAGAATATAATTTTATAATTTTGATTTATATAGAATAGAGAGAGGGAATTAATTTAAATTACAATTTTGATTTAAATAATTTTGATCTTACATATATGCATAGGTGAAATTGAAATGCAAAGTTATTTAATGACTGGATTCTAGTTTCTAATGTTGTTCATAACGGGATGCTAAAATAATTAAATTTATAATAGTTAACAACGCAACATAAGCGACCAGCTGTCAACACACAGGCAACTAAAAGATGCCTTCTGATCGACAAAAACGTTAGGAAAACTTACATATCCAGTTGCGAAAGTAAGTTATAAAATCCGTTTCATGATGGTTTTCAACCGTGTGCTTTGAACAAAACATGTACATTTATTTTAAATAATAAAAAATCAGATAAAAATTATTTTTTTCCAAGTTTTTTTTTTTTTTTTTTTTGCTTTTAACATTTCAACTCAATGTAGTTATAAAAGGAAATTAAAGATAACAATGTAACAACAAGACAGGAATGTTCAAATCTTCAGAATTCTTGTGCTGGATGACAGAACAAAAATGTACCAAAGTTCAAAGGATAAAATATTTCAAGGGCCGCATATGAAATTAATTAGTAACAACTTTGGTGTAAGTTGTATAACCTGTATTAGTCTTGCGTCTGACGAAATTATATTTACTTTTGAATCCAAAAGTTGAGGAAAAAAGTGTCGAGAGTCCCAAAAATTTTTTACATTTTTTAAGGTAACAGAGAAATCATAACAGAGAAGTTATTAAATATAACCTAACTATACATTTTGTGTTTGAAGCTGCACACAATTTGACGCATACTGCTTTGAATGTGTGTGAGGTCATGTAAGCCTTTATTATGTTTTTAATTCCATTATATGCTGCCAGGCAAGAGGCATAGGAATGTACTAAACAGCAGAGCTGAGTGCGATGGCTTCCAAGTGAATTAAGTGAATTTTAAATATTTAGGGAAAACTGAGAATGCGTGCGAAAGGAAAAAGATGACAAAATTTGATACACCGCTACAGTCACGATTAATCCCGATTAATGCTTAGGAGGTACGTCCCAAGCTTAATTGTGTGTGATCTGAAGAAATAAAGCAATAGATAAAATGTGGGATGCGACAGACTTTAGCTTGCGCAGCACAAAAAGCCACGGATATAGGATAAGCCATAGATATGCGACTGAAATTGCATTGCTCTGTAGCACTGCAGGCAGTATGACTGTCGGTTACGCGGTGGGACTACACTTGTACGATCAATGATGAATATCGAGAGTCTCGCCCGCTTCTACCTATACCTGTAATTGCAAAGACTGTCATTCTGAACATCTATAACTTTAAGGTATGTGACACTAAAAGTTTACCTTACTTGATGCTAATGGGCTCTTACTATTAAACATTATTTTGGAATTTCTTGCATGTCTGAATATTACAGTTTTACTGTAAAGGTTGATCCTGATTTTTGAACAGTGTACGTATCTATATGATTTAACACGCATGGTATAAATTGCGAAGAATATGTTTAAGAATTTCATCTTAAATTTCGTTCTTATTTTACATTTTTTGTGCTGTAGGGAAAGGAAAGGTTACTTGGAAAATGAATGCTTCCAAAAAGAGACGTCTTTAACAAGAAATGTCACAAATTCCTGGAAATTTCCTTTTAGGTAGTTAGATTTTACAGAAAGTTCATTCAAATACTTTTTTTTTCTTTTTTACGTTTGGATACGGTTGCAACATTTTACATTCTAGTTAAAAGTTGGCAGGTAAGTTTAACATAAACTGAGAATGCAGTAGTGAGTACAAACTGAAATATAGCGTCTATTTTCTGAAATCCTGAAATCTAGTCTCAAAGACTTCTAATAAAATGGTAATGAATATGGCACATTTTTCGCTTTTATATGATGTTTAAGAAACAGAACTTCACAGTGAATTGAGTTGTTGCTCTCATTATGAGACAAATATCGTTGTTTGCTGAAGCATGATTAGTTAGTTGCTTTTGATTTTAAAGATGTATGTTCAGTTTACCTAATAATTAAAAAAAGCACTAAAATTATCCAAACAGTTGGTATTCTAAATTTCAGTGTCGTATTCGTATTCGCAGTTTCAATTTTAGTGTCATGAGAATTTGCTCTTCCTTCAATATCTCGATTTATGTGGTGAAGTTGGCTCTATTCTGTTCAGTTACGGGATATATATCTGATGGCAGCATTTACTCTTCAGGGGACATAAATAAATTGAAAACTACCAACGTGAACGGAAAATTACTGATGTCTGGTCTTGCGTATGGGGCCTAGGTCTATATAGAATAATATTCCATATATGAACTGTATATACTCATATTCTAGATATAGAATACAGCAAGATAGGACTACATTTGGAGACTGAAATTAGCCATTCAAATTATTCGTGCCTTTCTAGCTAGTGTTGATTTATCTGAGTTTCTTAAAGTTTCATCACATTTATTTGCTCAGCGCAAAAATATTTTATATTAGCAGCTGACTTAATATTTTAAACCCAGAGGCATAATAATAAATAATATTGGGATATAGGAAAATTTTCCTAGGAATCTCCGACTAATCTATATAGATGAATGATTTTTTATTAAGTGAATTAAAAATTTACGGACCTCAGAGATAAAATAACTTGAATGAAATAAAAGAAAGTTAGAAAATAATTAATTAATAATTATTAATATCCATTTTGAATTAGCATGTTTAACTACACGTTTTAATTAAGAAAGGCTAGATGTCACACGTGACAAATTCTATTCTTCCTTTAATTAAAGACAATTTTCTCAGTTTAAAATAAACATCAAAATTGAAAAAAATCAAGATTGCTATTTTGTAATAGCAAAGAGTTTTAAGTTTAAGAGTGGAAAATTAGGGGAAATAAATTTATGAAGAGATTTAATGTTCCTAGTTTAATATAGTTAATTCTAATTTCAAAAAATAATTTCTCATTTTATATGGTAATGAATTTAGAAGCGACGCTTGCGAGGGAATGTGATGCAGTGCGTGAAAATCTCACTTTTGAAGAATGTTAATTTACGGCTAGATGAGTGCCCCGAAAAGGATCGGTTTCTTAAAATGGTTTAGTGATGCTAATTTTTCGAAACAATGTATCGTAAACTTATAAATAAAAAGAAAATCTATGATTACAATGCAAACTACCCATTCCATAAAGTGAAAAAAACTTATCTTAGGGGCCGTTTTCTTACATAGACAGATATCAGTTGGAAATGAGGTATTTTTTGAACGAAAATGTATTAATGAAAATGCATTAATTTTGAATGTAAATGAATTAATTTTGAAGTGTGAATCAAAGATTTGCGTGCTTCATGAATACATATATATTCTGTGATAATTATTTCGTTTTTACATATGAAACACGAAAATTTTAAAAATTAGTTGCATTCAAAAGAACTGATTATTCGTAGATTTTCTGCATTCTAAATTTAGTTTTATTTTTAAATTTCATAGAAATTAATTGTAAATTTAATTATAAGTAATTAATGAAAATTAAACATTTAAAAAATATAACATTTAGCAATAAACAGCAAATTTACTTAAAAATTAATTAAATATTATAATTTAGTTAAAAAATTAATAATATATAATTTAATATAATTTATTATAATTTAATTAAATTTAATTAAGAGTATATGTATATATAAATATTAATTAAGTATAATTATTATTATCTTCATTAGGTGAGCTTTATAGAGCTGAATAAAGGAAGGATGTAGACCTAACAAATATCAGTACATCCTCAATTCAGTTTATAGCCTTTTGATGCGGTTTCAACGGAAGATATGCAGTTTAAATAGTTTTAAAGTTGATAGTTTATATACAAGGACATTTTTCAGATAAAGGTGTTCTTTCATGGAGCCCTGTGGATTCATGAAACTTCTGTAGGGATGCCACGAGTCAAAATCAAAGTTAAAATGAATGTTTAGTTACCACATGACAGCAAAACTAGCATATAAAATAAATAATTAGATAATTACTTTTTTCGATTGTTACTGTTATCCAAAGCAATATGAAGTATATATGCTTTTATGTGCAAAATTACTATGAAGTAAGGATTTTTGATATAATGTCCACACAACGTAATACATTTCCACTGCTCTTTTACTCGTAATTTTTCACTTTTCTGAATTTGATAGAGCTTTTATGAATTCATTCAGTAAAATTTGAAGATCTCTGCTTAATTTATGAAGAAAAAGAATTAAGCTGACTAGAAATACAGATATTGAAACAAAAGAAAAATAATTTCACCTAATCGGAATGTAATGTATTAAGAATTATTGAAAAATTTGGAAAATTGTGCAAATGCAATAATATGTTTGAAAAGATTTTTTTAGACACAAATTTCTAATAGAAAATTTTTTCTGAGCAGTAAATATTTATTCAAGAAACTTTCTTACTTCCTAGCCTATTAAAGTAGAATATAGAATAGTCTATTTTTACGATTTATTAGGACGAATAGAGTAGTTCTAATAAACTGAATTTAAAAACTACTACTTTTATTTACATTTAAGAATTTCAAGTAGTTATAGTTTGAAACAATTTAGGGTACGTTATATGAATATGAAAAGTCTAAGGGAAGGCATATCTTCATTATAAGGGAAACTGGTTTGTATTCACGTTAAACATGAGTAAAAAACGAAAATTAACCATGCAACCAATCCTTTCACCTGGGATCGAACTTAGTATTCAGCGGCTTTAACTACTCGGCCCGGTGGGACCTTCAGTAAAAAGAATTTTTCACTTAATACTCATATCTGGAAAAATATGAAAATTTCGATGAAGACTTTTGTTCAGTTTTTCATTCAGTTGGTGGAGGAGTAACAGATTTCATCGAAAACTAGTAGTAAAAAAAATCCGCTAAAAAAGTCAGAATGGTTTACTTTATTATATTCAAAAAATAATATTATTACATTTAACAATTAAATATCACATATTTAGAACTTTCAATAAAATTATTTCATTTCTTTCCCACGCATTTAAATAAAACTTAAATGCAATTTGATTTCTCGAATTGTAACTTACAGATATTTATTGAAATCCTAATAAAATAATTTCTTTCATTATTCTATGTTCTATGTTTATTCTATGTTCTTATTAAATATTGTAATTAAATCTTAATTTCTCGTCATTTAATTTCAGAAATCACGTGACACTTAATGAAAGGGGGAAAAGAATAAAGGAAAAATTAATTAAGTTTAATGTTACAAATAAACTTAAGTAGCATATGAGCACGTTTAAATTGTACCATTGGGATACTAAAACGTGTAACAACTTACCAAAAAGGTGAGCTGGGATGGGTCCATCTTCTTTAATTTTATTTTTGCCGTACTCTTGAATGAGCTTTCTCCTGACGTATGCGTGGAGATGCTCATAAAGAGGTTTAAGTTGATTCCACAGACTTTCCAAATCCTCTTCAAAAGTCTCACTTTCGTAAGCTTCCCGCCACATGTCTCCAGTATCCGAAAATCCTGATGAATTCACAGACGTTGAGAAATTAAGTCCAAATGTTATAAAGCTTAAAGATATTATATGGTAAAATATTCAATAGTGTTTTCTAAGCTGAGGGTAAAGCCATAAACAAAGAAATACATATTACAAAAACCAAACAGTGTAAAATAATTTTAATACAGATAGCTAATCAATCTTAGAAGGACTTCAAAATATTTACGTCAAAATCTCTGCAATACAAAGCCTTCTAAATATAAGTAGTGCTAATCCTCAAACAAAATTCAAAATAGAATGGTTCAAAAACTACAATGGCATTGCAAGAAATAAAATAACAGATTCTCTTGCTAAAGATTCAGTTACTAAATCAACAAAAGTAAAATATCAAAATACCATGGCCAAAAAAGATCCTCCTGAAAGGAAAAAAAATGAGGAACTGGGAAATAAAATATGACAAGAAAAGTGGGATTAGACCCAACAAAACAGAAGTCTTCATGAAATAATCCAAAAAGTAAATAAGCTAGCAAATTTCAATAGTTTGTAAATCAACTATTATTCAACAAGGTTCGGTCCTTTCCCCACATATTTTTATGCAAGAAAAATTTCCAACCTAGAGATGTGCATTTGTGGAAAAAGGGGCAACTCTGATCGTAATCCTGATTCAAGAATAGTCAGTTGAAATTTGATAAAGGATCCCCATATTAGACATCTATTATATATCAGACATCTAATCTATTATATATTAGACATCTAATCTATTATATATTAAACCACATTAGACATCTAATATGTAAGCATTCAAAAAATAAAAACAAAGTATCAAAAAACCAAAATATACAAAGTTATTCAATACCTTCAGAACTTAGCAGATCTATGCCAAGTCACTTAAGAAGATAACAGTGTAACAAAGCAAATATTTCAAACTAACAAATATGTCGTTGCTGTCACTAACCCAACTTGTTTGATGTAATAAGAACAAGCTCATAAATTATTATTGGGGCAATGAGCAGAAAATTGTGCCTGCCGTTGGCCAGGGTCTTAAGCAGTATACAGGTGACAGTCAGACTTTATGCTCAGTTCATCCCCAGTTTTGTAGGACAGCACCCCCGGGAGAGTATCCGAGGTTCCTTCATCCTATTTCCCTACCAACAACCTCTCGAGAGAACTTTCGAGTCGCCTCATACTTTGAGTGCCTCCATGCCGCACAGATATTGTATGTTCACAAACATCCATGTCTTCTCCAGGATTCGAACCCGTGCCTCTCTAACCCCTTTGTCGTCTGGGCGGCTAAATATGTGATTAAATTATATACGAATGATTAAAACGTATGCAAAATTCGTTTCATTAAAATGACGGTTGAGGCTTGTTGCTATTTAATAACTCCAAATGTCCCGAGATGCAACAATTAATAAGATTCTTTTTCTTTTATTAGCTTGTGTTCGCCTCTCAGAGCATTATATGACGTAATCTATATTCGGTGGAATCTGTCAATTTAAGCTCGGAACTACAGTAGTTGTAATGTTGATCGCTGTAGTGTGAATGCTTATTACACATAGTTAATATATGTTTGTTTCTGGATATATGTGAAACTATTAAATTTATTACCATTCCATCTGATACAAAAATTATTTAAATTTGATATTAATTACTATATTCGCTTAGAAAAGATTTAAAAATTCCAAAATATTTTAAACTGTACTGGAATTATTATAAACATGCAAATATTCTCTTAGAGAATTTTAATCCGAAATTTAAATTAAATCCGAAATTAATTAAAATTTAATTCGAATTCAAATTATTAATATAGTTTAGTCATATGCATTTGCTGCATCTTAGCTGTAAAAATAAGCGTTAAAATTTAAAAAAACAGATTTATTACATAAGTCCAGTATAATAAACGACAGTATTTTCCTAAAATCATGATAATATGGTTTTTTTATTACATTAGGCATTATAAATTTTCTTTTCATCAGCAGAAAAGCTCCGTTCTGTTTTTCGTCAGTAGAACATTTCTACACGTAAGTACATACACAACAGTTTCGTGACACTAAGTAAATAAACCTTTCCTTGCCACACTGAAACTGTTATATCTTGAAACACAAAAATGCTATCAATAGTGTCAGGAAACAGGGTAGACTAGATGAAAAATAGCAGTTTTTTAGTTATCAGCGAAATACAAGATAGCGATTTCTGTATAAAAATACAATTCCTCCAAAACGGAATTGTGTTTTAGCGACCATGGATTCGATCGAATTAGTTCATTCAGATAAAACAAGCGACAGCTGCCTAAATTCCATCAAAATTTGCTGAAGCTTGTTCGGAGGCTAGAACCCAAGGGTCTCATACTAATTTTTCCATACACTAGCCTTATTGCAGAACTTTCGGCTCTACAGATTTCGAGTACCCATATGAAACATTTGGAAAATTTATGGAGGGGTATGAATTCAAAATTCAGCCACACAGGGAGAAAAAAAACATACGTATTATGTCATAATTGGTTAAAGATTCGAAAAATATTACATTCACTTCTAGAAAATGTTACAGGGATTCTAGAGAAAAGTAGAAATTTAATAGTCTTACAGAAGATCACGCTTTGGTACCATTTAGGATTTTTGAAGTTGGAAATACAAGACACTCTATCAATATTTATGATATTTGGTATAACTTTTTCTAACTTAGGTTCTGAAAACTATGCGACTTATTTCAACTGTCGTAGGCACCACCTCTGCAGCAAAATTTTAAATGCATGAATTCGAGAAGGGGGGGGGAAACTTAAATATGATAATGTGACTTTTATTCATTTGTTTAGATTTAACGTAAGACTTCTAACACCACTTATCCTAAAAACTCATGTTATTTTTTTCAGCTTAGCTTACCAGATATATTAGAAGCGAAATGGATTTTACATCATATCTAATTGTTTTTTCAGTTGAAGTTCACGATTTGAACATAAAGGAATGTAACAAAGGAAACTCTAAATTTCCCTTTTCAAAGTATAATTATGCTGCAAGAACCAACACAGCAGAAGAAAGGTATGTACCATGAACCATTAACAGGAGAAATATGGAAACCGCAAAGGATGAAACTTCATGGAAGCAAGCGTAGGGAAAGCTATAATTTGTCTGAAAAAACAGTAATAATAATAAAGGTGCAAGCATTCTGAAGTACATAACGGCTTAAAATAAGTAGGTGCGGAACGTCACTCTGAAATTTTGAACCGCGCCTCAGCACATATTTTGTGCTTGAGAATAGTATTCTTCTCCGTGGCATAAAAACCTGCCAGTTGATGTCTGCGTGTAAAAGTGTGAGCATAAAAAAATATATAATTTTTATCCTTCTAATAGCACATACATTTGATGGGTTGGGCTAAATTACTAACAACGTGAAGGCATTTGAAGAAGTATCTGATTAGAGAAGGTGCTTAATGGAAGATTTTTCTAAGAAGTCCTATGTTTTAAGAAAATTCCTCGTAAATATGAACACACCGGAAAAACAACATGCATATTAAAACTAACTCCATTAACTCAAAGCAAGTACACCCATCTAACAGATTTATAAACCTGTTAGGTAGCTACCTCGTCAAAATAGCCAACGAATAAACAGCCCAAAACTAAATGGCCCCCAGATATATTAACTTTCTTTTACACTTTTTATAGTACTGAGTATATGACCGCCATTTTTTGCAAATATGTAGTCATTTTTAAACTTAAAAACAGTATTGTATCCGTGCAGGCAGTACAAGTAAAATAATAAGCTTATCGATATAAGGTCTGAAACGAAGATCATAAATCCCGATTCTAATCTTAATCACAGATGGTATTACGAAAAACGCACCGTAATAAGATAAAATACAGGGTTAGCCTCAGAGAAACAGCTACTTTTGGAGTTTTAAAGAAACATTGATTTTAACAACATGGCTAAATTACTCTCACAGTCAGAAAAACATGTTCTGAAATTTATCTGGCTAAGTTACGAATATTCTATGCGGGACCGTTTTGTAACAAACAAGTAGAGGTCGTTCCGAACAAATTTCATCAAGTTCATGGTAAGGGTCGCAGCAGCTACTGTGGTGTACAAGATCGTCTAGGCTTGTAGAAAGAGGAGTAAAATGTCGATTCGGTACTTACATATTACCACATTAGTAAAAATAGCCAAAACTTTAGAATACATAAAATTCTGGTAACCACGCGCATATCAATTATTCAAGCAACCATGCGCGTGACAAATATTCGGTTTCCAAAGTCATCATTTTCGTATGTGTCCCTTTTTGTTGTATTCCAAGTTTCAAAGGCTTAATAGAAAAATTACGATTATTTTTCACCTTAAACTCGATTTTAAAATTTGTGCTTGTAAGACTTCCCTATAACAGAAAATACTGCTATATATATAAGATATTCCTATAATTCTTTCTCAAAGCGATCGCTACGAAATTTCCACCACAAGAAAAGCCAAAATCAGACGTGGACACTACATGACTTCCTTGAGCCTATTAAATTATACACATTTTTGCTGCATTTCATTTCAATTTATTTTCTCGAATTTCATTAGATATATATATCTCATTTAATTAATTCAGTTCTCACTTCGCAGTAAGGCAGAAATACATAAAAACTCAAAACATCTTCATTAAAAATTGTAAAATACAGAAAATTGTAAAACACCGTATACAGTTAAAAACAGTTAAAAAAACAGTTTTTACAATTAGAGTTTCTACGCAAAAAACAAGCAATTCGGCCAGCGGGCAAGGCACATTTTTTCAGTGCACAAAACTGAAAGCTTTCTTTTGATCCCACTCGGCAAAAAGACACTAAAGCTGGTGCAGAAACTGACTTAATTCGGTATTCTAAGAGTTTCAAATGTAAAGGAAGGTGGCTTCTTTAGGCTTAGTAGCCCTTAAACAACTTTTAAATTGATGATAATTCTACAACTCTTGCATTGCAGATTAGTTAAAGGCATAAAAGCTTTAGCCGGCATATAAGAACAACATAATTTAAGCAAAAAATGCACAATTTACCAACATATAAGAATAACAAAATTGAGTTGACGAAGTGGGTATATATATATATATATATATATATGCACTCTGTTACTCATATATATATATGCGGCCGATTGCAATCAAAAAGAGAGGTGTACAATTACATGTAATAATAGTCCCATATACAAAATTTCAATATTTTGAGATCACTCGTTTTGAGTTATGCGAGATTCAAAAACACGTCTGTACGTACATATGTATGTACAGACGCCACGAGAAAATTTTCTCTTCTGAATTCATTTTACAATCCGTTTTAGGAAAAAGAGTCCTTCATTCTGTCTACACGTACAAATATCACGAAAAACATCGAAACATCGTTCAAATGGTTTCGAGACAGGTCAAAATGGATATTTTCGTTGAAATATGATACCCGAAATATTTCGCGAATACAACAGTACTTTCTTTACTTAGTACAAGGAAGTAAAAATGTGTTATTAACTTGGTTAGCTCTTTGTCTCTTTTAATAAATATATAGTTAAAACGTAAGCTATGCATGTATTTAATATATAATTTTGACAATAAAAGTTACTTCTCTTTTTCTTCCGTAAAATTTTCAAACTGCTCCAAGATGGTTGCGATAATATGTAAGTCTCCTCGATTCTTGATATAACCATGTCAGAAGTAGTCACAAGGTGTTAAATCCAGTCTCCTTCGTGGCTAGCTCGCCACAGCCATGTTAGGTCTGTTGAAGGCCAGTCAAATGCCGAGGCAGATTTTTAACTGAGACTTAATTCCATATTCTAAAATGAAGCTATGTAACAGCAAAATTTTTGTTTTTGCATTTTGAAGCACATAAAATGCTTTTTCTACTTAATTAGCGTCCATATTGCTGGACTCACGTCAAGAAAGGTCATACGATGATGATGTCACGAAAATAAATAAAACGAGAATGTCTGAAACTTGAAAATACTTTCTATAAAACGTTTTGAAATGTTTCTAGATAAAAATAAATGCTTTTTCATTTACAAGCATTTAATACTGCTACTTCTTTTAGGCTAACCCTGAATTGTGGAAGCTAAAGTGTTAGTGAAAATTTCTATTTTCTAAATTGTTGTAACTAATACCATTACCACTATGTTGATAATGATAGATTTGCACTTTAAGTGCATTTCATCGCTTTCTAAATATTATTACAATATTTCAATTTTTATAATTATATTGAAAGGAATATACAGCATGAATAGACCAAAATGTTAAAAGATATATGCTGTATGAGAAATATTTTCTTCAAAAACATTTCTTACCATTTAATCTTGCTGCTTCATTGCTGAGGTTGACGAATCTGAGGAACTTTTCTCGAATAGGTTTTCCAGCTGCATCTCTCCAGGCTTTCCAGACATGAGTTAGTTCATCATAGTCTCGAGATTTCGTAAGAATTCGCGTGAGGTCTAATGTTATATGAAATAAAACATTAAAATAGCTTACATTTTCTTAATATATTAGTAATAGTCAGCGTTTATAATTTTATCTTATTGTCAATGCAAATAAAGAAATTTTAACAAATCTAAGAAAAGGATGAAACTTTAAAATTGAGCAAACTTTGATCGTAAAATTAGCTCTGGTTGGCTATTCCAAGAAGGTGGTCTATGCTTCGGTTTAGCCTCTTATTAAACAAACTTTCCCTCCCCCAATAATATGCCCTCATTACTTTCTTTTGTTAAAGAATAAAAAACAGATTATAAACAAAAATACAGACAATTTTGCTGTTTGCATACTTTTGCAGTTCCTGTCGCAAAGATATTTTAAAAGAATCTGAAGTCGTTTTAAAAAAGTCAGGATTAAAACGCGCACTTCCAGATATACGTTTATGCAGTGGCAAAATGGATATCTATACCGGATAATTTATACCTGAATGCAAGAAGAATAAGATGAAGAAAGAAATTACATTAACATAAGTAAGTTTCAATTCTTTCAGTTTTAAATAAATGAGAGATTATATTTTTCGGCAAATTCAAAGAATGCCTAAGGTTGCTAAGAGTTCCTTTTGAAAATATGCTTATTATATTAAGAGTTTTTTAGCAGCTCTCATTCGAATAAAGCTTATTATGTTAAAAATCAACTGTCTCTATAAAGCTGTTAGTTTTACAAATATTTAAATACATCGGTTATTAGCAAAAACAAAACAAGAAAAAAGCAGTCTCGTTTTAAACCTGCTCATGCCGAATTTCTTCTTCTTTCAGCAAATCGCATTGAAAAAATTTACCATCTTACCTCAGTCCAGTTAGAATAAATTATTTTGAATGGATGATTTTTAATTTGAGATATACTTAGAGTATTTAATTTTCAGTTTTAACATGAAACTAAACCCATACCAGGTTCCAAAGTGAGGTTGCATTCAGCGTCCTTTGGCTTTTGCCCTTTTTTCAGTGCAGGTAAAGTGTATGGACATACTTTGGCTGTGCTGTAAGTATTCTTCATTTCCGCTTTCAATCTATTAAACTGAAAGAAAGATTATTATTTTATTACGACTGAGATTACTGGTACAAGACATACAATTTCTTTTATGGAAAAGCATTTTTTCTAAACAGATAAAAGAGATTTTGACAGTGGTTAGTTTAAAAGCACCGAACAGCTTTCTAAATAACAGTCATTAACAGCGACAATTCGATAAAATTATAACTGTAGATAACAAATAAAGAACTTCTATAAAAATGCTTTCACAGACAATTATTGTACAGAGCATAAGCCTGGAATCACAGGATTGATCCTTTTGTATTGTTTGACAATGCATTGTAAAGATATATATCGACTGGTAATGATTAAATTCCGTGCACGTTTACTATATATTGTTACAAATATTCTGTACACAATACATTTTATGTTATATGTTTCAATAATGCATTGTTAAAGACCATAAGATGATAAGTCCTGTTATTCAAGACTTATGAGTAATCTTGTAAAAGTGAAGTTGCTTAAATTAGCTAAAAAGACAATTTTTATTAGGTGCTGAAAACCAATTTTTTCGGTAGTTGAAGTACGTAACATCTCGTTTTGCAAGATTTTTCTCCATTCTTACCATGTGCCATCATGGTATAACTGGAAAGCACATCTGGCTAGTAATCGGGAGGTCCAGAGCTCGAATCTCAGCAAAGGCACTACAAATTTGTGTCGTCTTTGCTTCGACAAACCTAATGATCCTACAATTTTAGAAATATATTTCTTTAACACGCTAATTGTGAAAATTGTTAGAAAAGCTATCAATCATATATATTTGAAAGTGTACACCAATTAACATTATTATTAAGTATATCTTTCTGCTATAAATTATTCAGCTAGGTATACTTCTAAAAATAAGTTTTAAAAAAGACGTACTTTGCTTTCAAACCATTCACTTTTTAAGCAATGTACTATTTTAATTTGAAAGGTAAATTAAATATGTTATGCCACTTGGAATTGCAGCATTTAACAGAACTGTCAGTTTTCTAGATAGTGTATACGAAGTAAGGCAATGCAACGAGAAGTGAAAAATGGAAATGCTAAGCTACAGAATGTATTCAGAAATAAGTTTAAAAAATCTTTAGCTACATCCATGTAAAAATGAAAAACTACAAAACATTAAATATTTAATTATTCCCATTCTCTGCTGCATTTAATTGCAGTTCATAGCCAAAAGGAAGTATTCAGGCTTTCCCATACAGCATACGTAGCAAAGATTGATCAGGAAATACATTTAAATGAAAGAGCGAAAAATGCATTTTTTTTTGGCATGGTGCCGATTACATGCTTTATTTACAACACACATCTATTTTTATAAATATCACACAAGTAAAAAATGTTCCTCTTTTTTATGTTTTCGAAATGTGAAATACTAAAATTTTCAACATTGGTAAAATATTGTAATGTAAAGGATGCGAATTTTTTTAAAAGTATTTTCATTTTTATGAGTCCCATTATTTATAATGCCATACAACTAATTGATAAGAATGCATATCATTGCCAATGAACTATTTGTCGATGCGATTTTTTTAAAATTTATCGTACGAATATTCGAAGTTCATGCTTTCAAACCTCGAAGTAAAAGCGACATGCTTTTATTTTGATATCTGAATAACAGTCACAGGCAATCACCGTGTTCTACTCGGCTGAAACAAAAGAAAAACTGTTTTTATGGATTACTTTACAGTTCTTTTCGAAACTGTAGGTTAAATGTAGGAAAAATGTGCACTTTGGCAGTTGCTTTTCTTACCTCATTTAATTTGTCTTCCGGTAGCGCAGCTGTGCCGAGCACAGATAGGCTCTTGAACCATCTTCTCAAAAGGGTATCATTGAATGATTTCCAGGCAAATGATGTTGCGTTTTTCCATGCCTCTTTGTGGAACAAAGAATATTCTAAAGTTTGCGCCAACTAAAAAAAAGAAGTTCAAATTATTCAAGGGTTAAAACAAATAAAAACATTAAAATACAAGATAAGTTTTACGTTATGTATGTCACCAATAAAAATATAAAATGCACGTCTAGGAGAGCATAAAGACAAAGAAGCTAGTCTTAAGGCACTCTATCTGTATGATAGAACGATATTTAAATGAACTAAGTTGAATTTAAAAAAAATGAACTAAAAGCTGTAGTAAATTTAGTAGAAATAATACAAAATAACAACAAATTTTTTTAAAACTTTCTAGATTAGCTAGAACGTAATCTATGAAATCACGAGGAAAAAAGTAAAAAGTAAAACAAGAATTCATCAAAGTATAAAATAATAAAAAGAATTAATCAAAGTATAAAATAATAAAAAGAATTAAAAAATTCAATGTATTATTGATTACATACTATCTTTTCAGAGGTTGATGATTAAATGTTTTCAAACATGGCTAGCCTGTTATATTCTCCATTAGTACCAACCCCCTGAAGAGATGTTAAGAAATATGCAACACATTGATTTCTTTAATTATTTTTATTACTCTGTTCTTTTATATTTTGATATACGGAGTTCTTGTGTAGCTTTTTTCTTTTCCGTTATATTCTGATAATGCGGGAAGTTTGTAAAAGAAACTTTGCTATTTCATGTCTAGATGTATTTATTAACTACATCAAATTAATTTAGTCTTAATTTTAGTAATATTAATTTAAGTTTTAATTCACTGTCTTATAGTTTCTATCTTTCCTCATAAAATCTATTAAGAAAGTTATATATACATAGTATCTAATAGTACACATGTGTTTAAGTAGTTTCGTTGTAAAAAAGTATCATTCTTAATTGTTTCTTTTATTTTCATTAGTAGTTTAAAAGAGTGTAAGTTTTTAACAACGCATAAAAACAACGGAGAATGTTTCCTAAATTTCATTTGAGAATGTAATTAAAATATTTCTTTTGTATTTCGGTTTCATTCGAAGTTAATGGCAGATGAGCAAATGCTGTTAAAATACAGACTTATCAATGCTACTAGTGTCATATGATTTGATAAATTACCTCATATTCTTTTTGAAGCTACGTTACTTCGAAAATTACATAGTTTGTTTTATCTAACAAACTAATTTCAGTTTACCTCTTGTGAATCGCTTCAATAATTAAATTATCTTACACTTATCTGTTGTTATTGTTTCTGATCTGTGTAATCTGAGAGAACTTTGATTACATTCATGAATTGATTCATCATGGCGAAAAGCTAATAAGCGGCTCTCTTTGACCAAGACCAATCTTATAGGTGATAGCTCGACTTTTAACCAGTCCCGTCCCAGTTTTAATGAAGAATACCCCAGAGTACGTGTCCTACTCCCTTTATCAACCATCAGCCTCTCGACAGACTTTCTGCGTGACAGTGATTTTAATTGCCTCCATATCGCGTATACATTTACAGATACTATACATGTAAACAATCTCTGCCTTTTTCAGGATTCGAATCTAGGCCTAAAGATAAAACAATGGTTAATAAAATCAGGGCTTCACACTCAAATTTTTCAAATGAATCTTTTATTACGTTTAGAAATTTTTCGTTTACTAGGTTTTAATAGCTAAGAAAGTATTCAAAACAGTGTTCCTTAGACTGATTTTATAAAGGTATTTTTTATAAGTCTATTCATGATAAACACTTCTGCATTAGTTAGCTAACATATTCATGAAATAATCTTATTTAATATGAAGCATTCATGTCAGAAAAAATAGCAGTCATTTATAAAAAAATTTAATGTAGTATATCCTTCACAAGTTTCCGATATGTGGAATTAAATTTGGGACTTCCTTTAGTTTATTTTAAATAACAGCTAAAATATAAAATGACCTACTTAACACTAAAAGAATACGTAAATCTCATCAACAAAATTGGATTGTTTGTCACTGAATTGCATCGATATACGTTTAGCTCAAATAATGCAAAAATAATAGGTTAAATGAAAATGTTACAAATTGGCTTGACCTTGATTTATGCATCCAACCTGATAACCCATACAAGTTAACGTATAATGTTCCATTGTAATTAACTGACCCTTGCGAAATGAATATGTGTGGATCAAAATAACAGTGAAAAGAAAAGGCTTCATGAAACTTTTCCTGACAGGCATATTTACGAGTTGTCTCTTTTTTTTTTTTTTTTTTTTTTTGATCGCTACTTTTATAAATCTTGAAGTTAATATTTGGCAACTTTCTACCCATTCGATTTCGTTGCAAATTTCCAGACCTATGTATTTGTGATGAAGATACACTAATCTACGACAATATTCAAAGATTTACTAGGGAATTGTTTTTATTTAGCATTGAAAGTTTGTCCTGTATTCCAGTTTTAGAGTCTAATTAATGATGACAAGAATTTCATCTTTACACCATCGGATACACTAAATAATATTCTTCGAAAATGAATGTTTTCGAAATTTCCAACTTATATGATGTTTTTTTTTCAAAAATCATTTGAATTCTTAGTTACTAAGTAGTTGGTTACAACGATGGATTTTTTTAAGTAAAAAATTTAATCCTTCAATGTGAATAGCCCCATGATTTTAAGTGATAAATAAAATCAGATTTCTAAACCAAACAGAAATTTATGGGAATTAAATGTAAATTTAACACCACAGAATAGGTCGTAAGACTTTAGGAAAATATGATTCACTTAACTGTTGTGTTGATTAGAAGGAAAGAATTTCTACAATTAGAGGCAGTGGTTTTCTTGCGTTTCGATCCCCCCATTCTATAAAATGACAAATGAAATATTCAAAAACCTTTTAAAGTTTGTAGAGTCATTAGTTTTTTTATAATTTTTTTTTAAAGCAAGAAACCTGAAAAATGAGCAATGCTATCACCTAGACTCGAACCTAGACTTCTAGAATACGCGCCGAGTCTGCTAACCGTTACACCACGAAAGCATGCTAGAAGGAGAGAGACAATATATACTCCCCCTTTTAAAGAGCGACTGGGGTTGATGGGATCCGGTCGACAAATTCTGGTGGTGACGAATTATATGTCCAACACCTTTTAGTTCGGGATCCACTATAGAGTCATTAGTGTTTTTTTTTTAAGCAGGAATCGCAAAAAATGAGCAATGCCCTCTGCGGGACTCTAGCCTGGACCTCTCGAATACGCGCCGAGTGTGCTATCGTTACACCGCGAAGGCATGCTGGAAGGATAGAGAAAATACCTTATAAGTTATATAGTTCCAGTTAAAAATTTAACTAATTCTAAACAAAAAATAAATTTTTTAGCTATTATGACATTATTTGACATATGGGGCCAAAAATAAATTCGTGGGTTGCCATATAAGAATTGTACTTTAAGAATATTAAAAAGTATAAAAATAATATCTAGCAAGAGCGATTGAGTTACTTAAATTTATTTGGACAATTTTGATTTAAAATCCGCCATTATAAGCAGATCTACGATTTTATTTTTAATCTCATACAATCAAGAGTATTATGACAGCTAAACAATTATTCAATTATTTTTTTTTTCTTTTCAGAGCGTTAGCTAAAACTACGTTACTTTCATACTTTCAGCTGCTTGTAGAGTTATATATATATATATATATGTATACACACACACTCTTAGACAAAAAAAAAAAAAAAAAAAAAAAAAGACGCACCGCGAAGATATAAAGTAAATTGGACACAAATTGATATGCATACAGGTTTCGACGGAAAATGCCAAATTTTACATTTTAGCTGCCAATGAACGAACGGCTGTCGCTACAGCGCATCTGATCTGCGCGACTGGCAGGATATTTAAGAGGAGAAATTACAATTTTAGGTGATAAATTCTTCACGAATTTCATTCCGTGTACTCTGGTAGACAGTAACTATGCCTCGCATACAGGTGCACGAACGATTTGCGCAGATGTCAGAATTTGAGAGAGGTCGTGTAGTTGGGTTCAAAGAAGTCGGTTGGTCTTAACGGCGAATAGCTCGACATTTGAGCAGGAGCGATGCCACTATTAGACGAGATGTTGGCAGGAATGTGTGAACCATGGCCGCACAAAGCATCAAGAAGGAAGGGGTAAGCCTAGAGAAACGACAGAACGTGAAGACCGAGCAATCGTCAGAGCGGCACTCACAGTCCCAGATGCATCATTATCATCAATTGTACCTGAAACTAGCTTCAGTGACCGAAAGGACCATTTATAGACGGCTCACAGAAAGGGGGCCGAGGTCACAGCGCCCTTTGTGCCGTTTACCATTGACCTCTGTACAACGTCAAGCCCGTTTACAGTGGTGTCCGCCTCATTCGCACTGGAATGTCACTGACTGGAGTAGAATAGTCTTCAGTGATGAGTCCTGCTTTGAACTGAGCCCCGATGTCCAGCGAAGTCGAGTCTGGAGACGCCCCGGACAGCAGTGTGATACCAACCTGACTGTCTTCCGGCAGACAGGCCGAAAACCAGGAGTGATGGTCTGGGGTGCCATTTCATTTCATAGTAGGATCCCTTTGGTTATCATCCGTCGCCACCCTGTCTGTCCTTCATGTCACGCCACCCTGGGCTTACATTTCAGCAAGTTTTGCTGAAACACATTGCACAAGTTTCAACTGTTTGCCTTAGTGCTTGCCGAACATTAGCTTGGCCAGCAAGGTTGCCGGATCTCTCTCCTATTGAGTACGTTTGGAGCATTATGGGCAGGTCCCTCCAATCAGCTCGGGATGTTGACGATCTAACGCGCCAGTTGGACAGAATTTGGCACGATATCCCTCAGGAGGACATCCGCAACCTCTATCAATCGATGCCAAGCCGAATAACTGCTTGCATAAGGTCCAGAGGTGGACAAACGCGTTACTGACTTTTTCCCTTTGTGAAGCTCTATCACTTCAATAAATCATCCAGTTTCTCTCAAATTGTAATCATTTGTTTTCTGTGCATGTACATCACTTCTACCGATTTTCGTCCCATTTGGATAACTCCTTCTTGGTGCGTCGTTTTTTTTTTTTTTTTGTCT